GATGGGACACCCAAGCAACACAGTATTAAATAATACGATAAGAGCAGGAGTACTCGACAAGGACTCACTACTACTGACTGATGGAAGAGAACTTCAACGAGTACGTGGAACGTGTTTCACCTGCCCTGAAGCTGACTTACCGCATCAACCGTTCGCGTCTCACCATAACCCAAGCGCACCAGCTTACGCGCCACTCGAGAAAGTGTACAGCGACATCCTGTACAATCGCGAACCGGGGCAGAACGCGTACAATTACACCATCACGTTCATCGACGCCGCGACACGTTACGTTTGGCACCTGAATCTTCCAAGCAAGGATATGGCGTTCGAAGCGTTCGTCGCCTGGCTCCCCGTAGCAGAAAGGGAATCGGGCGTCAAACTAAAAAGCTTCCAGTCAGACGGGGGAGGAGAATACACCTCACAAAGGTTCAAGCAGTATCTGGCAGAGAGAGGAATCAAGCGACTCATTTCCCTTCCCTACGCCCATCAACAGCAGGGTGTAGCAGAAAGGATGAACAGGACCCTACAGAATACCATGCGGAAACTGTTACGTGGCATGCGGCTACCCAACCACCAGTGGCCCGAAGCAATGGACCACGCCGTGATGCTGCACAACTTGCTTTCTTCGTCGTCACTCCCGAACAACACATCACCGCATCTGCTGTGGACAGGAAAATTGGGCAGCACAAAAATGTTACGAGTCTTCGGCTGAATGGTACAGTACCGACCTCCATCTGCACGAGCAGGACGATTCTCTCAACGCGCACACTGGGGACTACACCTGGGCATCGAAAAACACTACAATGCATGGAAGATTTTCGACGTCGAGACAAAAGAAACAGTGGCAGCACGTGATGTCATTTTCTACGAGCGACTCACACTGCAGACGTACCTTGCCAACCTGGACGAAAACCGAGACCCCACAGGTGGCTTCCGTGGAGACCGAGCCTTCGCTTCGGCAGAAGATGAAGCTGACCTGGACGAGCAGAACGTGGAAGGAGCCTCGGAAGAAGCCGGACCCCTCCCCTACTGCTCCGTTGACGTGCCAATGGACGACGAAAACCCACGCGAAAGCATCAACGCCGACGCCTACTACCATTTCGCTGACAACGGTTACGTTACACCTGCACAAGTAAACACCAACGAAGCAGAACGCGTAGGACCCAACTTCGCACCTGATCCGGAAGCGGGAGACGAAGCTGCTTATCCCGCGGACATGTCACTCCCCCGCTACACACCGAGTGGACTCCAGATACTCGGGCTCGTCACCGCAGTCCACGGCACGGCCATTCCTAAGGAGCCTGCCACAGTTCAGCAGGCTCTGGGGGGGGAGCATAGGGAAAAATGGCGCGAAGCCATGGACAAAGAACTGAAGGCATTAGAGGAGCGCAACACGTGGAAAATTGTCCCCATCGGCGTAGCACGGAACAAAACCATTCTCACCGGAAAATGGGTTTTCCGCGTGAAGACGAAGGCCGACGACACCATTGACAAATTCAAGGCACGCTGGGTCGTGCGCGGCTTCGACCAAGAACACGGGCGAGACTTCACCGAAACTTTCGCTCCGGTCAGCCGACACACTTCGCTCCGAATCCTCCTCGCGATCGCCGCCATGAAGAAAAAGAAGCTACGGCAAATCGATGTCGCGAACGCATTTCTCTACGCACCCGTTGACGCAGAAATTTTCGTGGAACTACCGCACGGTACCAATGGGGAGCCCAACCAAGTCTGTCAGCTGCTAAAGTCGCTCTACGGGATCAAGCAAGCTCCGCGGCTATGGCAGCAGTACCTGCACGCCCGCCTCATTCGCATCGACTTCAAGCAATTACCACACGATCAGGGGATGTACCGACTCACGAAAGGCGCAGATTACATCCTGCTAATCGTCTACGTAGACGATCTCCTCTACATCGGCTCAACCGACAGCGTCACCACCTGGTTCGAAAGGGAGCTGCAGCAGGATCTCACACTGACAGTCTCATCTACCGTTACACAGTACCTCGGGCTCAACATCCGGGAAGAGGAAGACGCCATCTACCTCAGCGCCACGAAATACGCCGACACCATCGCCAAGCGCTTCACACTCACACCAACTGCTATCTCCACACCGTACCGCTACACGACAGGAAACAACAAAGAAGGCTCCGCTCTGCTCAAGCCCGCCGGCATACGCGACTACCAGAGAAAGCTGGGCTGCCTTCTCTTCGCAGCTGTCACCTGCCGCCCAGATCTATCGTACTCTGCAAGTCAACTCACCACCTACCTCAAGAGGCCCGAAGCGGAACATCTAGCAGAACTCGACCGCGCTCTTCATTACCTCATTAGCACCCCGACGATTGGTCTAACTTATTACAAGAACGCAACTACGCCGCCTAAGTTAATCGGCTACGTCGACGCCGATCACGCTGGCGATTCCGACAACAGGCGTTCTCGCACTGGCTACATCTACCGCCTCGAACCTATCGGACCTATCTCTTGGCAGTCGAGCAAGCAGGAATTAATCGCCCTCTCGTCAGCTGAAGCAGAATATATTGCACTCTGCTCAGCCACCAAGGAAGGACTTTACCTTCGCGAACTGCTGGAAGAAGCGAAGCTGGCTCAGTTACCCAGCTTCACTCTGTTCTGCGACAACCAGTCGGCAATTCGCATTGCCAACAAGAACGGCTTCGCGAACAGGACGAAACACATCGCCCTGCGATATTTCTTCGTGAAGGACGAGATCGAGAAAGGGAGGCTCGAGCTGTCATACTGCCCCACGTCCGAGATGGCAGCTGACTACCTGACCAAGAAGCTCGGAAAGCAGAAGTTCGAGTACTGCATGCTGCTGACTGGACAGAGCCACGTCACCAGCAGCGACACTCCAGAAGCGAAGGGGAGTGTTGGAAACAATCAGTCTTAAGCGCCTCTGTCGTGTCGAAACACCAAGACACAAGCGAAGCAAAGCATATCGAGGCACCAGCGAGTCAACCCTCGGAGGTTGAAGTAACCGCTGGAGGTTACGCGAAAGTCAAAGGTCAGCGACCTTTGACCTGACAAATACAGTGCGACAGCAAGGACACACAACTGACTCGCTACAGAGCAGTTGCCCGAGTCGTCACTGTATCGAACCGCAACAGCAACAGTAAAACAGTTATAACCGTATCCCTTCATATTCCTTGTGCTCTTATATAATCTTGTATCTCTTTGTCTTAATCAATCTACTTTGCCCTCACAAACTAGCGCAAGGTGGTTCAAGCACTTCTCATTAAAGCTTCCGCTATTACATCAGTCCCACTTAGAGTTCATCCCTGCAAAGATCCTAAGGGCTTTTTCTCAGCCCAACACTTGTAACGTGCGTGCAACTGGCTGGGGAAAAAACCTCGGGTGCAAGGTTTCCATCCGGTGCAGGGCAAATTCGCGTGCAGGGGTTGGGCATCATGTGTCTCTGGTTGTGTACACCTACTCCATGCAATCAGCCTAGGAGAAAGGAAAAATGATAGGCAATTGTTTAATATGGATGGCAGTCTGATAGATATACATAGGTGTTAAAGTATGCTGACAATAAAATGACCACTGTGTTATACAGTACCATAAATAGGTCATGTCATTCTCGTGTTGTGACTTCAAGCTGCAACACTAAGCTGTTACACATTAGCTTTTCATCCACTCCAGCTTGACTTGCCATTCCAGGTTGGTTTGACAGAGCAAATTTATGCTAAGTCAGCTTGATGTGCGTTGCTAGCCTTCGAAGTTTGAACCAGTCTTTGCTTCCTACCAGCCTCCCACGCCCCTCTTTGAGGCGCCTAAAAAATCACCTATTTGCTTCCTCCTAGGCCCCTCTGGTTTTGATCAGTCTCCTTCCTCTTCTCCTCTGGTCCTGCTCGCATGCTCCCACCCAACCATGGTAAGAACGTGGAGAAGAGGGAGAGGGTGATGGTGGTGGCATCGTCAAGGTGAAGCAGCAAGGTTTCCAGCACTATTGTGACAAGGAGGAATTGTATTGCCCCCCTCCCCCTGCTCCCCCTGCTCCCACCCAACCATGGTAAGAACGTGGAGAAGAGGGAGAGGGTGATGGTGGTGGCATCGTCAAGGTGAAGCAGCAAGGTTTCCAGCACTATTGTGACAAGGAGGAATTGTATTGCCCCCCTCCCCCTGCTCCCCCTGCTCCCACCCAACCATGGTAAGAACGTGGAGAAGAGGGTGAGGGTGATGGTGGTGGCATCATCAAGTTGAAGCAACGAGGGTCACATAGAAGAGGCTTCATACAGCCCAGGTGCCCCCACTGCCCTCCCTGCACCACCAGCATCACCACCACTGAATAGCACCCCTGTAACCTGCTCTCTGTGCCTCCTTATCTGTCTGCCCTGCTGCCCCTGCCCCCTTTCTCCCCCTCCCTCCCCGCTGCTTCCCCTGCTCCTCCTGCTCCCAGCCATGGCTAGACGTCAGAATGCGGAGGAGAGTGTGGCGGCATTGTCAAGGCGCAGCAAAGACCAACACCACCACACCCCTGACTGGGCCTTAGAATGCAGAGAAGAGCGCAATTGTATCGTCAAGGCGCAGCAAAGACCAACACCACCACACCCCTGACTGGGCCTTAGAATGCAGAGAAGAGCGCAATTGTATCGTCAAGGCGCAGCAGTGAGGTTTCCAGCACAGCCGCTACTCGCCACTGCTTCCTCTGCCCTCCCTTCACCACCAGCACCACCTCTGAAATGGCACACTTGGCTGGGCCTTAGAATGTAGAGAAGAGCGTAATCGTATCATCAAGGCGCAACAAAGAAGTCTCCAGCACCGCCGCCACTCGCCGGATCCTCTCCAGCTGCTTCCTCTGCCCTCCCTTCACCACCAGCAGCAGCAGCACCACCACCACCACTGAATGGCATCACTGGCTGGGCCTTAGAACGCGGAGAAGAGCGTAATCGTATCATCAAGGCGCAGCAGTGAGGTTTCCAGCACAGCCGCCACTCGCTGGATCCTCTCCAGCTGCTTCCCCTGTCCCCCCTGCTTCTGTCCCACCTGCTCTAGAACGCAGAGAAGAGCGTAATCGTATCGTCAAGGCGCAACAAAGAAGTCTCCAGCACAGCCGCCACTCGCCGGATCCTCTCCAGCTGCTTCCTCTGCCCCGACGTCAGCGCCACTGCTTTCTCTGGCGCTGCCCTCACCTCCCCACCAGCAGCACCGCCAGTGGAACCGGCACTGTGTGCTGCGTGCGCCTGCTCTATCTGCTCCAGGAGAGACAGCACCTGGTAGAGTGTCATGGGTTATAAGCACACATGGGTGGTAAGGACATGGGTTACAAACACATGGGTGAGAGAGAAGCGCTTGTCGTATCCTCTCCAGCTGCTTCCTCTGCCCCGACGTCAACGCCACTGCTTTCTCTGGTGCTGCCCTCACTTCCCCACCAGCGGAACTGGCACCGCCTGTGCTGTGTGCTGCGTGCGCCTGCTCTATCTGCTCCAAAAGAGAGAGTACCTGGTAGGGTCACACACAGGTTATAAGCACACATGGGTTATAAGCACACATGGGTGGTAAGGACATGGGTTACAAACACATAGATGAGAAGCACTCGCCGGATCCTCTCCAGCTGCTTCCTCTGCCCCGACGTCAATGCCACCGCCTTCTCTGGTGCTGGCCTCACCTCCCCACCAGCGGAACTGGCACCGCCTGTGCTGTGTGCTGCATGCGCCTGCTCTATCTGCTCCAGGAGAGACAGCACCTGATAGAGTCACACACGGGTTATAAGCACACATGGGTGGTAAGGACATGGGTTACAAACACATAGATGAGAAGCACTCGCCGGATCCTCTCCAGCTGCTTCCTCTGCCCCGACGTCAACGCTACCGCCTTCTCGGGCGCTGCCCTCACCTCACCAGCAGCACCGCCAGCAGAACTGGCACCGTGAGCTGCGTGCGCTTGCTCTATCTGCTCCAAGAGAGACAGTACCTGGTAGAGTCACAGGGTTTATAAGAACACATGGGTAGGAAGCACATGGGTGAGTGAGAAGCACTCGCCGGATCCTCTCCAGCTGCTTCCTCTGCCCCGAAGTCAACGCCACCGCCTTCTCTGGTGCTGCCCTCGCTTCCCCACCAGCAGAACTCCCAGCACCGCCTGTGCTGTGTGCTGCATGCGCCTGTTCTATCTGCTCCAGGAGAGACAGCACCTGGTAGAGTCACACATGTGATATAGGCACATGCATTATTGTCAAGATAGAAGCGCATGGGTTAAGATCAGGTTATAAGCACATGGGTTCATTGGCGGAGCTGGCAGCACCGCCTGTGCTGTGTGCGCCTGCTCTATCTGCTCGAGGAGAGAGAGAGCGCCTGGTAGAGTCACACCAGTTACAAGCACATGACCAATGCCTTATGATATAAGCAAGTTTGAAGGTTCCGCATGCAAGGCAGAGCCTTCAAACACTCGCCTAACCTACAATCAGGTCTCCCTCTCTCTCATCTCCTGCCATTGCTGGATCTAAGGCACCAAACCCAGGCTAAGGTTGCAGGCAGCGTGGCACATGACTTTGGGATGGAAGGCAGGAAGGCGGGGGCGTTAATCACTATGCCGACTCCCTCACCTCCTGCTCGTGCGGCATCTCATGCTCCAGCCTCAGGCTTTGGCACCATGGCACATGTGGTTCAGCACGAGGGGCAGAAGAACCATCAAACGCTCTCCCATGTTACACCCTTCCCCTCCCTGCTCACCAGAGCTCCTGCCGCTGCATTTCATGCTCCAGTCGTAACCGCAGGTTGCATGCACCGTGGCACATGTGGTACATGGCCACTCCCTCTCTACCCTCTCCCTCACCTCCTGCTCCTGCTGCATTTCATGTTCCAGTCGTAACCTCAGGTTGCAGGCACCATGGCACATGTGGTTCAGCACACGGGGGAGAACCGTTGCAATGTGAATGCGCCAGAGGTAGAAGGTCCTCTGAGGGGCGTGATCAGCCGTTTTGGGGACTTCCTGTGGAAAGAGAAGGACAGGGCAGCCAAAGAGAGGAAACGGTGGCACATGTGGTTGCGATGTGGATGCGCCAGAGATAGAAGGTCCTCTGAGGGGCGTGATCAGCCGTTTTGGGGACTTCCTGTGGAAAGAGAGAGGGGCAGAGAGAAGTGGGGAAACGGTGGTACATGTGGTTCAGCACACGGGGGAGAACCGTTCCAATGTGGATGCGCCAGAGATAGAAGGTCCTCTGAGGGGCGTGGTCTGCTGTCTTGGGAACTTCCTGACAGCAAAAACAGCAAGGGGGGATATTGACATGTGGTTCAGCACGCGGGGCGGAACCGTTGCGATGTGGATTCGCCAGAGATAGAAGGTCCTCTGAGGGGCGTGGTCTGCTGTCTTGGGGACTTACTGTGGAAAGAGAAAGACAGGGCAGCCAAAGAGAGGAAACGGTGGCACATGTGGTTGAGCACGCGCGGCAGAACCGTCACTTTGTGGATGCCCAGAGGTAGAAGGTCCTCTGAGGGGCGTGATCAGCTGTTTTGGGGACTTCCTGTGGAAGGGAGAGAGGGGTGAGCAGAAGAGGGGAGAAGGTGGCACATGTGATTGAGCACGCGGGGCAGGACAGTCACTTTGTGGATGCGCCAGAGATAGAAGGTCCTCTCTATGATCAGCCGTCTTGGGGACTTTCTGTTGAAAGAGAGAGACGTTGACAGAAGATACGGTGGCACATGTGGTTGAGCACGCGGGGCAGGACAGTCACTTTGTGGATGCGCCAGAGATAGAAGGTCCTCTCTATGATCAGCCGTCTTGGGGACTTTCTGTTGAAAGAGAGAGACGTTGACAGAAGATACGGTGGCACATGTGGTTGAGCACGCGGGGCAGGACAGTCGCAATGTGGATGCGCCAGAGATAGAAGGTCCTCTGAGGGGCGTGGTCTGCTGTCTTGGGGACTTCCTGTGAAAGGGAGAGAGGGGGTTGGTCGGCAGGGGAATGCACACAGGGAGCGGAAAGAGCACACGGGTAGAGCGGGTTGTGTGTGGATGCGCCAGAGGTAGAAGGTCCTCTGAGGGGCGTGATCAGCTGTCTTGGGGACTTCCTGTGAGATGGGTGAGCAGAAGCGGGGAGAGAGAGAGAGCACAAGGGAACAGCCGCTGTGTGGATGCGCCAGAGATAGAAGGTCCTCTGAGGGGCGTGATCCGCCATCTTGAGACTTCCTGTGAAATGCACCCACACACGCACACACAATACCCAGAAAGCAGATCTGAACCTTCAACCAAAGCGCACCTGCAGCTGAACATGGGGTAGGGCAGTGGAGAAACGAGAGCCATTCATGGCATCCATACTCAAAAAGCTGGAGGTTTTGAGACGTCTCAAATTTGGTTTTGTTTTAAGACGTCTCTTTTTTTTTTTTTTTTTTTTTAGACGTCTCATTTTTTTTTTTTTTTTTTTTTTTCTTTACCTCTCAAAACATGGGGTAGAGAGCAGTGGGGAACGAGAGCCATTCACAGCGTCCATACTCAAATCAAACGGCTGGAGATAAGGCATGTGTGTTCCAAATAGACTGTTTGAGAATAAAACACACATGCCATGTGTGTTCCAAATAGACTGTTTGAGAATTAAACACACATGCCATACCTGCAGCTGCACAAATTCGTCCAGCATCATGCGGTAGAGCAGCTGCCGTGCGTCTGCAAGCATGCCCAGAGAGGCTAGGTAGAGTAGCAAATACATCCACACCACACCATACCTGCAGCTGCACGAATTCGTCCAGCATCATGCGGTAGAGCAGCTGCACTGCACCAGAATATGTCATGCCATACCCGCACCTGCACTCATCCCACCAGCAGCATGCCCAGAGGAGCTAGGTAGAGTATCTGGCGCATGCAACCACACCACACCATACCTGCAGCTGCACAAACTCGTCCAGCATCATGCGGTAGAGCAGCTGCCGTGTGTCCGCAAGGGAGATCATTGCCAGCTCTGCTGCCTGGTGGGTGCGAATGGGGAAGGGGAAGGGAGGGCAATCATGTCAGGTTTAGTTAGCTAATGGACGGCAGTTGATGATGCGCGTCCGTAAGGCCAGTGATATGATTGCCAGCTGCTGTGATGCGACTCAAAAACTCATCCAGCATCATGCGGTAGAGGAGCTGCCTTGCATCCCAAGGGATATAATCGCCAGCTCTGCTGCCTGGTGGGATGGGGAGAGAGATAGAGAGAGGGGATAGGGATAATGCGATACGGGGAGGGAGTGAGAGAACTGGTTAGAGTAAATGTGGGGGGGATCCCCCTTTGGTGTTGCCTACACCTGGCTGTCAGTCGTGACCCCCCTGCCCATTTCAACCTTTACGAGAGAAAAAAAAAAAAAATCTTTTATGTTGCTAAACTATTTCGAGTTGCTAAACTATTTCGAGTTTTTTTCAGAGATTTCGAAGATTTCTCAAAAACATTTATGCTGCAGGATATTGCTAGGGACAAAAAAAAAGGGGGTGAATTCTTAATGGTCTCATTTCCCTCCCCACCACCTCACCTGCTTCTGCTCCAGGCAGTTCTTGAACAGCAGCAGGCGGAACAGTCGGCAGGTGGCTTGAGGCTCATGACCCACCTCCTATACAACACCCTCTTATCGCCCCTCCTCTCTCACCTGCCTCTCCTCTTATCGCCCTTCCTCCCTCACCTGCTTCTGCTCTTATCGCCCTTCCTCCCTCACCTGCTTCTGCTCTTATCGCCCTTCCTCCCTCACCTGCTTCTGCTCTTATCGCCCTTCCTCCCTCACCTGCTTCTGCTCTTATCGCCCCTCCTCCCTCACCTGCCTCTCCTCTTATCGCCCCTCCTCTCTCACCTGCCTCTCCTCTTATCGCCCTTCCTCCCTCACCTGCTTCTGCTCCAGGCAGTTCTTGGACAGCAGCAGGCGGAACAGTCGGCAGGCAGAAGGCCCAAAACGCTGAGACACTATTGCTTCCACCTGCAAGGGGTGGTGTGGTGGGAGGGAGGGGGTGATGGAGAGAGGTTGGAGAAGTGGTGTGTGTGATGAGAAGGCCCTAACCAAGGCTGAATCGAAGAAATGGTTGAAAGAAGTGGTGATGAGCATGGGAGGAAGCTTGATTTAGGGTTACAAACGTAAGGGCACAATGTTGTGACAGTCTACTTTAGCAACTCCCTAACCAATGTCCCTCATCCCAGGAGTCAGCTCAAGTCAACGCACCTCTCCATGGGTGAATTCGACTCAGCACACCTCTCCATCAGTCAACTTGAGTCAACGCACCTCTCCATCAGTCAACTTGAGTCAACGCACCTCTCCATCAGTCAACTTGAGTCAACGCACCTCTCTGAGTTTCACTAGCTCGATAATCTTCGCAGATTCTGACAGGCAATAGCAAAACTGACCAGTCACACGCCATACAGGTCAACGCACCTCTCCATCAGTCAATCAAGTCAACGCACCTCTCTAAGCTTCACCAGCTCGATGATCTTTGCAGATTCTGACAGGCAAAAGCGAAAGTGACCATTCACACAGTCCATGCATTCACACAGTCCATACATTCACACATGCATGCACACATGCATGCATACACACGTGTGCACACACATGCAAGCACAGGCACACTCACAGAACAAGGTTAGCAGATATTGTTCACATGCTTGTGGTATAATGTAAATATAACTCAGCCCAGGGAGCTTGACGTGTGTAGATAGATGACTCACGGATGGTGTAGTGGGATAGATGACTCACGGATGGTGTAGTGGGATAGATGACTCACGGATGGTGTAGTGGGATAGATGACTCACGGATGGTGTAGTGGGATAGATGACTCACGGATGGTGTAGTGGGATAGATGACTCACGGATGGTGTAGTGGGATACATGACTCACGGATGGTGTAGTGGGATAGATGACTCACGGATGGTGTAGTGGGATAGATGACTCACGGATGGTGTAGTGGGATAGATGACTCACGGATGGTGTAGTGGGATAGATGACTCACGGATGGTGTAGTGGGATAGATGACTCACGGATGGTGTAGTGGGATAGATGACTCACGGATGGTGTAGTGGGATAGATGACTCACGGATGGTGTAGTGGGATAGATGACTCACGGATGGTGTAGTGGGATAGATGACTCACGGATGGTGTAGTGGGCGTATGAGGAGCGAGAAGCAACAGCGCTGGGGTGTGCCACGGGCAGCTGAACAGCGGCGCTCTGATGCGGTGGCTTGCGTGCTTGTAGTGTGATGTGAGTCAGTGACTATAGCACTGAGTTTAATGGTGCAACGATGACTCACGGATGGTGTAGTGGGCGTGTGAAGAGCGAGAAGCAACAGCGCTGGGATGTGCCAGTGCCACGAGCAGCTCAAGTGCCGCTCTGATCTGTTGTGACGGCTTATGTATCGGCTCATGTGCAATGTGCGTGACCAAGACTCACAAAGTAGGCAGTGCGTTCACACAACAACTCACGGATGGTGTAGTGGGCATCGGAGGCGCGAGAGGCCACGGCGCTGGGATGAGCCACGAGCAGCTGAAGTGCCGCTCTGATCCGATCCAAGGCCATGGTGCGGCCGTCTTCTGTGCCTCGCACTGCATTGACTATTGAGTCCAGGGAGAGGGATGCTGGGAGGGGACGGGGGAAGTATAGGAAGAAACAGGAAACTCGAAGGGGTGGAGAGGAGTTTGATCTGGTCGAGGGCCATGGTGCGACCGTCTGCTGTGGATCGCACTGCATTGACTATCGAGTACAGGGAGAGGGATGCTGGGAGGGGAGGGGAGGGAGAGACAGGGTTCATATGGCTCACAACGTTCATATCATATGGCTCATCCAAGGCTCATTGTACAACTCATCATTATGATGCTCTCTCAGTCAGCATATGGTTCAAGCTCATAGTGGAGCGGCAGCAATCCTGAAGAAAAACGCTAAAGCACCAACGGAACGAGACAATAAAATGCTTCCCAGAAATTCAAGTAGGCCAAGAAACTCATATGGCTTATCCAAAGACTCATCATACAACTCATCATACAACTTATCATACAAGTTATCATACAACTTATCATACAACTTATCATACAAGTTATCATACAACTTATCACTATGATGCTGTCTCAGCATATGGCTCACAACGTTCATATGGCTCATCATACAACTTATCATACAACTTATCATTATGATGATCTCTCAGCACATGGCTCATATTGAAGGACCAATGGAATCAAATCGAGGGAATGACGTGCGTTACCTGAGTACGGGTGTCGAAGGGAAGTTTCCTGGTTCTTTCCAGCATGGAGCAGGGCAGCAGTGATGATGGAAGCGCCAGGGTCGATGCTCTCCCGCACAAAGTCCACTATGGTCTGGTGGAGAGCGGTGAAGAGGGGTGAAGAGGGGTGAAGAGAGGTGAAGAGTGGCGGAGATGGGTGTGGTGAAGAGGGCAGCATCGATGATGGAAGCGCCTGGGTCGATGCTCTCTCGCACAAAATCTACTATGGTCTGGTGGAGAGGGGTGAAGAGCGGTGAAGAGTGGTGGAGATGAATGTGGGGAGGAGGGGTATGGGTGGGGAAGGGTGTGGGGAGAGATGATCGGTGAAAAAACAAAGGATGGGAGGGCATCAAGCAAGGCACACATATTCTTTCAAGGAGGAACACACCTGCCTCCCATCTGCCATCAAGCTGCCCGCGTGTACTGAGTCGAGTTTTGAGTCGACTCAAAACTCTTCACGGAGGAACTCACCTGCCTCCCACCTGCCATCAAGCTGCCCCCCACCTGGAGCGCAACTGAAGGCCACTTGAATCTGTTTTTTGGAGAATTCTAAAAAAAATGTTTTGAGGAACTCACCTGCCTCCCATCTGGAGCGCAACTGAAGGCCACTTGAGCCCACCTGGTGTCTCGTTCTCCTGAGGAACTCCTCGTAGTTCACCCGCCACAGCACGCCAGAGTCCTCCCCTCCTCCTCCCTGCTTCACTCCTGGTATCTTGTTTGCTGCCCAGCCCAGTGCCCACCTAGTGCATTCTTCCCTTCCCACCCTGACCCCACCTGGTGTCTCGTTCTCCTGAGGAACTCCTCGTAGTTCACCCGCCACAGCACGCCAGAGTCCTCCCCTCCTCCTCCCTGCTTCACTCCTGGTATCTTGTTTGCTGCCCAGCCCAGTGCCCACCTAGTGCATTCTTCCCTTCCCACCCTGACCCCACCTGGTGTCTCGTTCTCCTGAGGAACTCCTCGTAGTTCACCCGCCACAGCACGCCAGAGTCCTCCCCTCCTCCCTGCTTCTCCCCTCCACCTGCACTCCCACCCACTGCTGCTGCCGCCCCCGTTGCAGGCCGCTTGGCACTCGGTCCCGCTTGCTCCTCCTCATCATCGTCATCCATAACCACTCGCTTCCTCTGCAAGTGCAGTGCGGTGGGGTGCGGTGCAAGGGCGGAAACGAGAAACACTGTGTGGTGGTGCGGCCAGAGCTTGCCGCTCGGGCCCTGCTTGCTCCTCCTCCTCATCATCGTCATCCATAACCACTCGTTTCCTCTGCAAGTAAGTGAGGAGGAGAACACGGGAAAAAGGGGCATAACATTGTCTCTAGAAAAAACTTGCTTCTCCCCTCCACCTGCACTCCCACCCACTGCTGCCGCCCCCGTTGCAGGCCGCTTGGCACTCGGTCCCGCTTGCTCCTCCTCATCGTCATCGTCTAGAACCACTCGCTTTCTCTGCAAGTAAGGGAGGAGGAGAGCACGGGAAAAAGCGGCATAACATTGTCTAGAAAAACTTGCTTCACTCCTCCTGCTGCACTCCCCTCTGCCTCAGTCATCAACAGAAGAAGGGCAGAGAGGGAAGAACTGTGTGATGGTACCAGTGAAGAACAGATTCCGCTTGGCCCTCAGTCATCAACAGAAGAAGGGCAGAAAGAAAAGAACTGTGTGACGGTACCAGTCAAGTCCATGATGTTGCAGGTTGTTTTTGAGAATTCTCAAAATGGCCTCCAAATGGGGCTCGATTGGACAAAAACAACCTGCAACAGAAAAGGCAAGAACTGTGTGATGGTACCAGTGAAGTCCGCTTGGCACAGCACAGTACCATCACACACTCAAACCAGCTCCTCCTTGCTGCTCGAAAGGAGTCGTGCTTTGATTGAGTCGACTCAAAACACGGCACAGTATCTGTTTTCTTTAGAATTCTCAAAAAACAGATTCACGGTACCATCACACACTCGAACCAGCTCCCCATTGCTGCTCCAATCCAAAGCAGCACCAGCCCCACCAGCGACAGCAGCACCGCCATCACCATGCGACAGCACCCAGGCAGTGGGCAGCTGGAAGCGCAGGGCATCACTGCAGCGTGCTGCAACCACCACACGGTGCTCTTTCCTGCACAAACATGACTGCACATGAATCTACCTGATCTGACCGCTCACCTTCAACTTTGCTGCTGCTGCTGCTGACATTCCTGCATCTGCTCCAGCGCTCCCGTCCACAGCAGCACCAGCCCCAATAGCAGCACTACCAGCACCAGCGCCATCACCACCCGACAGCACCCAGGAACCGGGCAACTGGAAGCGCAGGGCGTCACTGCAGCGGGCCGCAACCACCACACGGTGCTCCTCCGAGTCAAAGTAGCCAGACGATTCCATCATGGCCCTCGTGCGCTGAAAGAGCAAGGGGGGGGGAAAGAGGAGTGAGCGGGAGTGTGAATGCGGCGAGCAGCAACGAACACGCGGTGCTCTTCAGAGTCGAAGTAGCCAGACGATTCCATCATTGCCCGCGTGCGCTGAGAGAGCAAGGGGGGAAGAAAGGGGAGGAGGGGGGAAGGATCTTCAGGAACCACAAGAGGAGTGAGCAGGAGTGTGGCTGCAGCGCGCTGCAACGACCACGCGGTGCCCCTCCGAGTCAAAGTAGCCAGACGACTCCATCATTGCACGTGTGCGCTGAGGGAGAGTGAGACAGGGGAGAAAGGGGAGTAAGGGGACAGCGAGTGAGTGGCGCTGCAACAACCACCCGGTGCCCCTCCGAGTCAAAGTAGCCAGACGACTCCATCATGGCCCGCGTGCGCTGAGGGGAAGGTAAGAGGACGGCACGGATGAGGTCAGGGGAAGGGGGAGAAGAGGGGATGGGGCTATAGAAACCACAACAGGAGTGAGCGGGAGTGTGACTGCAGCGTGGTGCAACGACCACGCGGTGCTCCTCCGAATCGAAGTAGCCGGATGATTCCATCACGTGCGCTGAAAGAGTGAGCAAGGGGGGAAACATGGCGGGAGTGAGCGGGAGTGTGACTGCAGCGCGCTGCAACGACAACGCGGTGCCCCTCCGAGTCAAAGTAGCCGGACGATTCCATCATTGCCCGCGTGCGCTGAGAGGGAGGAAGGGTGCAAGCAGGAAGGGAAGAGGACATGCAAGAATGAGAGGAGAGGAGGGAATGAGTATGGCTGCAGCATCACGCTGCAACGACCACACGGTGCTCCTCCGAGTCAAAGTAGCCAGACGATTCCATCATTGCCCGCGTGCGCTGAGAGAGGGTGCGACAGGTAACAGGGGGATGGGGTTGGAACGCTTATAGAGACCAAACCGCCATTACAGCACCGAGTGTTGCTGCAACGACCACACGGTGTTCCTCCGAGTCAAAGTACCCCGACGATTCCATCATTGCCCGCTTGCGCTGAGAAAGGAATGAAGGGTGAAAGCAGGAAGAGAAGGGAAGGGGTCGGGGCCATTCAAGCATGAGAGGAGAGGAGTAAGTGAGTGTGGCTGCAGGAGCGTGCTGCTGCAACGACCACACAGGGCTCTTCTGAATCAAAGTACCCTGACGATTCCATCATTGCCCGCTTGCGCTGGAAGGTAAGGTAAGGAGACGGCAGAGAGGGAGGGAGGTGGGGAGGAGGGGGCGGGTATGGAAACCACAACAGGAGTGAGAGCGAGTGCCGCTGCAACGACCACACGGTGCTCCTCCGAGTCGAAGTAGCCAGACGACCCCATCATTGTGTAGCCATCTGACAGCATCCAACGATAATGGTACTTTTGAGAATTCTCAGAAGTACCATCAACGTAGCGGTGCTCCTCCGAGTCGAAGTAGCCAGACGACCCCATCATTGTGTAGCCATCTGACAGCATCCAACGACAATGGTACTTTTGAGAATTCTCAAAAGTACCATCAACGTAGCGGTGCTCCTCCGAGTCGAAGTAGCCAGACGACCCCATCATTGTATAGCCATCTGACAGCATCCAATGATATCTGACGGTATCCCAAGTTGCTGCTTCCTCTTGAGAATGCAGGACGTTTTCGAGAATGCTCCCAAATCTACCCCTCTGCAGGTCGATTAGTGAACCGGAATAGGCATTATAAACAAGAGGGGAAGAATGTCAGGAGAGGGAAACCAAACTCACCACTCGCGCACGAGAAGCGGGCTTGGGAGCATCGCCGCCGCTGGTTGCTCCCCGAGCCAGCAGCATAGGCTCGGGGGCCCCGACCCTCTCGACGAGCCTCTCATGGATCAGCACTGACAGGGCCGCCACCAGCTGCTGCCGAACCTGACCCTCGGCTGCAAGAATGGCAGGGCGAGCAAATGAACATGAAGGGAAAAAAAAAAAAAACAAAAAAAAAAAACAACAACAACAACAACAACAACGAAGAATAACAAAAAAATCAAACGAATAAAAACACAACGGAACATTTGCCCTTGGGGCGCCTCAAAACAGACATACATAATCAAAGGGCAGTCACGCAACAAGTTGCTTACTCTTTGCGGCAGAGGGATCAGACGAGCCAGCCTTCGCCACTGATCGCTGCACGAGCTGGTGCAGGGACAGCCGGCCGTGCTCCAGTAGAGCCTCTACCACTGCCTCTGCCTGAAGGAGAAGGGTAGTGGGGATGCGGCAAAAAAAGGGAAAAGGGGAGTGGGGAGCAACAAGGAAAGTGTGGTGTGATCGCTGCACGAGTTGGTGCAGGGACAGGCGGCCGTGCTCCAGAAGAGCCTCCACCACTGCCTCTGCCTGGCGAGTCGTGTTGGAAGGGGAAGGGGAAAGGGTGGGTGGTAAACCGTAAATGGGGCATTAAGGGAAGTGCGGTGTGATCGCTGCACGACTGGTGCAGGGACAGGCACCCGTGCTCTAAAACAGCCTTGCCTCTGCCCGACGAAGGGGGAAAGGGGAAGCGCGCATGCCGCACGGAGGGAGCATGGGTCTGATGGAGCTGTTGTTGCTGCGCCCGCACCCGTGCTCTAAAACAGCCTCCACCACTGCCTCTGCCTGGCGAGTGGTGTGTTGGGAGGGGCGACAGGGGAAGAAAAGGGAAAGGAGGCACTGAGGGATTCGAATCGACTGCTTCACCCGTTGGTGCAGGGACACCCGGCCGAGCTCCTCCAACAGAGCCTCCACCATTGCCGCTGCCTGAAAATAGTGGTTAAAGTGGGGGGTGCGGGAAGAAAGGGGGGCGCGTGGGGGTGGGGCATCAAGGGAACTGTGGGGTGATCGCTGCCCGAGATGGTGGATCACCCCACTGTGGGAAACCGAGGGCAGGCAAGGCAACCATGCTTCAAAAGAGCGTCAATCACTGCCTCTGCCCCACCCGGCCATCCATGATGTTGCAGGGATTTTTATAGAATTCTAAAAAAACTTTTGAGTTGACTCAAAAGTCACCTTGAGAATTCTAAAAAAAACCATGCTTCAAAAGAGTTTTAAGACGTCTCAAAGAGCGTCAATCACTGCCTCTGCCCCACCCGCCCATCCATTCATCCACCAACCAACCCTTCCACCCATCACCCAACCACCCACCCACCTCGTCTCCCAGCAGCTCGTTCGTCTGCGCCATGAACTTGGGGAAGCGCAGGCGAGGCAGGATGGAGTCCTGCAGAGCGATGTAGAGGGTGGGCGTGCGGGCCAGAGGGCCCGTGTCTATGGGGGGAAAGAAGTAGGGGTTTGGAGTGGTTGGAGTGGGTGTGAAAGGTTAGCTTGGTGGTTCGCGCAGGCGAGGCAGGATGGAGTCCTGCAGAGCGATGTAGAGCGTTGGCGTGCGGGCCAGAGGACCCGTGTCTGGGGGGGAGGGGGAGAGGGCGTGTGAAAGGAGCAAGGGGAGAAGAGGGGATCTTAAGCACAAGCGAGGCAGGACAGAGTCCTATAGGGCGATGTTGAGGGTGGGCGTGCGGTCAACAGGACTATTATCAGGGGTGACCGAGGGGAACGGGAAGAAGAACTTGAGAGAGGTACGGAGCAAGAAGTCAACCCGACACTCTGAATCCGCCTGGTTGACCGTCGGCCTGCTGTGGTCGGAAGGCCTGAACCTGCCGAGAGAGTGGAGCAAGGGAGGAAGAAGGAGGCTACTCAATACCCTCAACCCAACACCCTACATCACCCTGACTGGCTCACCGTCTGTCTGCGGCAGAAATGCCTGTGTGCAGTTATGCTGTATTTGGGTCGACTCAGAAGGAGGCTACTCAATACCCTCAACCCAACACCCTACATCACCCTGACTGGCTCACCGTCTGTCTGCGGCAGAAATGCCTGTGTGCAGTTATGCTGTATTTGGGTCGACTCAGAAGGAGGCTACTCAATACCCTCAACCCAACACCCTACATCACCCTGACTGGCTCACCGTCTGTCTGCAGCAGAAATGCCTGTGTGCAGTTATGCTGTATTTGGGTCGACTCAGAAGGAGGCTACTCAATACCCTCAACCCAACACCCTACATCACCCTGACTGGCTCACCATCTGTCTGCGGCCGAAAAGGCCGGTGTGCAGTTGTGCTGTACGCGCACCAGGAGAGCAGGGCGGAGGAGCGAGGGGGGAAAGAGGGGAGGAGGGAGGAAACTCAACACCCTGAAACCTGGAGGAGGAGGGAGAGCTCTGAGAAGATAGACCCACAACCTCAGGCCCTGCCTCACCGTCTGTCTGCAGCCAAAAGGCCTGCGCGCAGTTGTGCTGTACGCGCACCAGGAGAGCAGGGCAGAGGGATGGGGGAGGGAGGGGGAAACCGGAAACCCGACACCCTCAACCCTGAGAGAGGAGGGAGAGAGCTCGGAGAGGGTAAAACCGTAAACCCAAAACCTTAACAACCTTAGGCTTACCATCAGTTTGTGGTCGAAAGGCCTGCGCGCAGTTGTGCTGTACGAGCACCAGGAGAGCGGAACGGAGCGAGGGGGGAGGGAGGGCGGTGAAGCGAGCAAGGTCTTGAAGGGACAGACCCAGCTGTCCCTTCTCCAATAATGTGCGGCATACTGTCTGAACTAGGGCGGAGAGACGGGGCAAAACAGGATGGAAGAGAGGGAGCAGCGGAATCGTAGGGAGGGCGGTGAAACGAGCGAGGTCTTGAAGGGACAGGCCGAGATGCCACTTCTCCAAAAATGTGTGGCATACTGTCTGTTAGGGAATAGAAGGGCACAGGGGAATGGGAGGGAGGAGGTGCGGGGGGGAGAGAGGTGCGGGAGGAGGTGCACAGGGGAGGGGGAGAGGTGCGTGGGGAGGGGAGGAGGGAGGGTAGGTGGGAAACCAAAGAGAGGAACTGGGGAATGGGAGGGAGGGAGGGCGGTGAAGCGGGACAAGTCCTGCAAAGACAGGCCGAGCTGGCCCTTCTCTACCGGCGTGCGACATACCGTCTGGTGGGAACGGGGGAGGAGGGAGGGGAGGGGTTTTAAAGAAAAGCAACAGAGGAATGGAGGTGGTGGTGAAGCGGGTGAGGTCCTGTCGAGACAGGCCGAGGTGCCCCTTCGGTTTGAGACGTCTCAAAACGAGGTCCTGTCGAGACAGGCCGAGGTGCCCCTTCTCTACCAACATACCACCTGCACAGGGGGGGAGTGGGGAGAGGAGGAGGGGTGGGGAACGGGGAACTGAAAGGAGGAATAGGGGAATCATGGGCAGCAACAACCGGACGCACCTCCACATAGTTACAAAAGTGTTCCTGGTAACACCTGGAGGCCCCCTTTTTTTCAGGAAAACCTGGCTTCACCACCTCCCTCAGGTAACACCTGGACGCACGCACCTCCACCTGGTCCTTCACGAGAACACCCAGACGGGCCTTCCCCAGGTAACACCTACCTCCACTTGGTCCCCGAAGTGGTCCTTCACGATCCCACACGCCAGCTCTCGCGCGTACGGCGTCGGCATTCCCAATTTTTTTTTTTCCAAACGAGCTGTTTTCTCCTAGCTAGTTCGTCCAAGAGAGTACCGAGCGCTTTGTAACGCGTATCCCGCAAGGTGTGGCGTGGCGAAGCACTATCACTTCCTACCTCTGTTCCGCAACCGGCAAGCGGGGAATTGATTGATCACATGCGGAGTACTACTTTCGCATATGCCGGATTCCTCATGTACCAAACGTCGAGTCACGTCAGGACTTCCTTTCACGGATGGCACGACAACGGTCCTACTGCTGCGAGTCGAAGGCTGACGAGAGCGGCGCCGTGCGTGCGGAATAACCGCCACCGCGATACGCTATAGTCGATGCTTCCTTAGTCCGCTTATACCGCATTGGTAGGATGCAAGCAAGGCTGCTAGGCTTTTAGTGGGGTCTAGCACAAGGGTGAAAAGAACTCGCTAGAAAGTGATTCGGACGGATGTTTGATTTCTGTCGTGTTAAACATATTATATGTAAAAAGGCAATATTTGGAACAACCAGCACTCCTAACCACTGCAGTACAAACAAAACTTCACACAACATTGACAAGAAAATGAGAAAACTTCTTTTTCTTTTCTGAACCTCTATTTACATGGGCTGAACCTAAGGGCATCGTTTGATGCTGTACCAAACAAACAACAGCTCTTATCCTCTTACAAAAACTTGAAAATGTAGTTACCCTGGCTTTGTGTCTACACTTCCTTGTCTTCTACTGTCACCACTAGATACTAATCTATCCCTTCCTTCCAACCCTCCTGCTTCTCCTCCCTCCACCTTCACATCACCCCCGTTTCCTCTCCCATTGCTATCACCGCTGTCACCCCCACCACTCCCAGCAGCGGCATTAGCGTTACAGTCGGCCGCCTGGTTACCGCTCTGTGTGCGTTCTGCTATGTATGTCATTGCCATCTCCATCATCGCCTGGCTGTTCCTCTTCATCTGCACGGGCAAGGAAGAAAAGGGGAGGACGAGAGGGAGGGGGTAACAAAGAGAGAGATGTGCTATCAGCAGCGGCTGGTTACCACCTGCGTGTGCTCAGCTACCGTATGTAAGTCATTGCCATCTCCATCATCGCCTGGCTGTTCCTCTTCATCTGCAGGAAGGGGAGAGAGAGGGCAACAAAGGGGGAGATGTGCTACCAGAGGAGATAGCATTACATTCAACCGGCTGGTTACCGCCCTGTGTTCCCTCTGCTATGTATGCCATTGCCATCTCCATCATCTTCATCTGCACGGGATAACAGAAAGGGCAACAAAGCAAACAAGTGCAAGCAGCAACAATTCAACAGCGCACATATTGCTGTGATATCAAAGCTGGAGTGAAGATGACACATGTGCCTCACAAGCTACTACAAAGAACAGGGAAGGGCACCACATGCACTCACCTCTGCCTGCGCTCCCTGCCGGATCTTCCCTTGCATCATACACCACTTCTTGAAGTGCACACCTGCAATTCACACACACAGACATTGATACACAGAAATGTCAACAAGATTCAATGCAAGTCATGTCCCTTCCCCCTGGCAAAACATTTCCTTAGACGACTCACTTATTGGTACGCACTCGTGCAATTATGTTACAAATGCAATGTACCACACGCCATGCACCACACAGCATGCGCCACAAGGTTCAGAGCCCAAACACAACAATGCAAAAGGACACAAACAGACTGAAATCGGACAGCTGTTGACTTTTGAGTTGAAGCCAAACAGCAGAACCACCGACCGGCTTTAAGTTCAGCACTTCACGATGGGCTCTTGGGGTTATCGGAGTTGCCTCACAGGGAGACATTCGACTCGATTGAAAAGCCACGACCACCGACCTGCTTTGAGCTCGGCACTGCACGATGGGCTCTCGGGGTTGTCGGAGGTCGTTTTGACCGTCCACTGTGCATGCACCTGAGAACCACAGAAAAGAACAAAAGGGTTGATATAAACTCCAATATTAAGATGTTTAAGAGCCAATCCATATTTCATCTCTAGTTCCAAGGTGCTCAAAGGCCCTGCACAGTCTTGCTGGGTCAGCCGCCTGACCTGTGACGGCCTACAGCGAGCGCTGGTGTCATGTTATCCATTCTAAAAGTGGGGGAGAAGCGTAAGAAAGGAAGGTAAGAACATATTAAATTTAAGAGGTGAACGGGAAACGTTAGCGAATCATTTCTATCCAGATTAGTGGACTCAAGTTACGGCTGGCAAATGGTCGTCAGCATCTCGCTGGCTCGCTTTTTTGTCCGCGAGATGCTGACGACCATATGCCAGCCGTAACTTGAGTCCACTAACCTGGATAGGAATGATTCGCTAACGTTTTCCGTTCACCTCTTAGATTTGATCTGTTCTTACCTTCTTAGGCTGCTCGTATAATCACACCACACCCCATGCCTCACCTCAAAGTAGGACCCAAACGGCACGTCATGCGCCTGGTTTATTAGCTCCAGGACCTGGTGGGGGACCAGAGAGGGGGATTGAAAGTTGGGATATTTGAGAGATGAGAAATATGTGGTACAAGAAATACAGGCGAGACTGTAACAGATAGGATCCAAACGGCACATCATGCACCTGGTTTATTAGCTCCAGGCCCTGGTTTGAGAGGAGTTGAGAGTTGGGAGTTGGGAGATGTAAGAGATGAGATACAAGAGGTACAGGCACGACTGTACCAGATAGGACCCAAAAGGCACGTCATGCGCCTGGTTCGTTGGCTCCAGGACCTGGTGGGAGGGGGTGAGAGCAAGGTGTTTTCCAGACATCTCAAAAATCAAACACCCTGCCACCTCATGCATCTGGTTTACTAGCTCTAGCACCTGGTGGGAGGAGGAAATATACCAGATACGGAAGATTTAGGGCAGATGCTCCAAAAGGACAGCTCATACGCAGGGATGGCAGGGCAGAATTTCTGGTTGAAAGAGCTATTGCAAAAGGAGTTGTTCTCTTTGCTACTAGATGTGAAGGGAGGTTGGGAACTGCCCTGCCAAGGGAGCGGGCTCATGCTCTCCAGTTCCATTCATGCAGGCAATTTAAGGTGGGATTTACTCATGTACAGGCTCTTGTACAGGCTCTTGTACAGGTTCTTGTACAGGTTCTTGTACAGGTTCTTTCAGGTTCTTGTACAGGTTCTTTCAGGTTCTTGTACAGGTTCTTGTACAGGTTCTTTCAGGTTCTTGTACAGGTTCTTGTACAGGTTCTTGTACAGAACATTTTCTCATGTACAGGTTCTTTCAGGTGATTTCTACTTTTCCTTTGATCAGATGCCCTCACGAGCATTTCAATTTTATGCGCATGTTCTGAGCGCCTGCACACTTAGGAAAAGATATGAAAATGAAAACATGCGGGTACCAGGTGTTTGTGGCCAGGAGCAGAGCAGAGATAGAAGGCCGTGTGCTGCCACTCAGTCATGGCCGTGGAGGGTGGCCTCACGAGCACTTCAATCTCTGTATGCGTGTTCAACCATGCACGCACCAGGTGTTTGTGGTCCGGAGCAGAGAAGGCCGTGTGCTGCCACTCGGTCATGGCCGTGGAGGGTGGGCACATGGGGGAGTCGCAGAGGGAGCGATAGGTCACCTGGGATGGGAGGAAAGGGGGAGAAAGGTCACGTGGGGTTATCCAGGAAAGACTAAGTGCTGCCACTCAGCCATGTGCTGCCACTCAGCCATGTGCTGCCACTCAGCCATGTGCTGTCACTCAGCCATGGCAGTGGAGGGTGGGCACATGGGGGAGTCGCAGAGCGAGCGATAGGTCACCTGGGAGAGGACAGGGAGGGGAGAGGGCATGGAATCATGATCAGCCCATTCCAACTTCTCGGGAGCAGAGACGGCCGTGTGCTCTTACTTGGTCATGGCAGGGGAGGGTGGGCACATGGAAGAGCCTTTCCTGGCGTATTATACAGGGGAGTGTCTAACTGTCTGTGAACAATCAGAGGTAATTCTGAGAGAGGGAGTTCGTGAAAGAGGTCGAGAGATAAATGCCAAATCCCTTTTTATCCCTTCTTATAATCACCTTCTCTCATCTCAACCCTCTCTTTCTATCGCCTGAAACCGAGCAACTGCCTGCTTTCCTTTCTACTCAAATTTAGCCCCACCCTTCGATTCTTTATTATTTTTCCGCCTTCCTGGATGTTTCTCCCTTGGCTCACCTCTCTCAGCTTGCCTCCGTACTGCTCTGTTTCCTTCCATTCGCCCACCTGCAAGGCAAGAGATAGAGGAAGCGAGCGGGATGAGAGGAAGTGAGTGGGATGAGAGCAAACAAGCGGGATGTGAGGAGGCAAGCAAGCAAGTCAATCGAAGCATTGGCCTGAAACAGCAGGCAACACAAAAGGGCTTACAACAAGCTTGGCCCGTGCTTCATCTTTCGTTTCATTTGGTCCTTGCATCAACCTTCGTCCGTTCTGTTTGGCCGTGCGTGGTGCCTCACCCTCTCAGCTATGTGTCCTTGCGCGCGCCTCAGTGAAAAACGGTTGAGTCTTCTTCTCAAGGACTCCGTGACTCAGTGACTCCAAACAGATTTCGCCCATGGTTCACATTCTATGCTGGAGTCACTCTTGAGAATTTTCAAAAAAAAAAAAAAAAAAAAAAAAAAAAAAAAAAAAAAAAAAAAAGGCCTCATGAGTCACCTTCTACTCTCTGTGCCTCCTTGCTCTCAGCTCAGCACACCATGGTTTAGTTTTGTAGGCGACTCGACATTGAGACGTCTCAAAAGCCTCAAAAGCTTCGTAGGCGACTCGAAACGGGAGCAGCCCGTGCCTCACCTTTTGCCTCGTTTGCCCCGCGTGTAGTGAGTCGATTTTTGAGTCGACTCAAAAATTGCCTCGTTTGCCCCATGCCTCACCTTCAGCTCTCTGTGTCCTTGCGCTTGGCTTGGTAAGCAATTATTGAATCTTTAGGTGCCCCAAAAAGGCTTGGGCCGTGCCTCACCTTTTGCCTCGTGTCGCCCATGCCTCACCTTCAGCTCCGTGTCCTTGCGCTTGGCTCGGTAAACCACGACAAAATCAGACGAATCGGAGTAGAGGAGATTGAAGTAGGTTTCTGCTGTGCAGGGCACCTCGAACTGAGAGGGGAGGGCCGAGCGGGAAAGCACAGAAGCACAGGGAAGGGATTCGAATAAATCGACTTTTGAGGAGCCTCAAATAAATCTGAGAAAGGGAGGTTGAAGCAGGCACGTGCTACTGGGCAGAGGAAGAGGAGGAAGGGAGGAAGGGAAACGGTTGAAGAACAGGGAGGGGGGAAAGAAGTCGGATGAATCGAAAACGGAGGAGGTTGAATCAACCTGGATGGTACCCCTTCTTGTGCACTCTCTTGTGCAAGACAGGGAGGTTCAAGTCAACACAGCACAGCACGGTGTAGTGTACAACTCGTAACGCTCACCACTCACCTGCAAAACCTCTCCCTCACCTGCAGCAGGTGCTCCAGCACGGTGAGGTCAAGGAAGGGTTGCTTCTCCTCTCCTCCTCTGCAGCAAGGTGACTTCTGAGTTGAGTCGACTCAAGAAAAGAGGAGGGTTCACCTGCAACAGTGACTCTCACCTGCAGCAGGTGCTCCAGCACGGTGAGGTCAAGGAAAGGTTGCTTCTCCTTCTCCTCCTCCTTAGCCTCCGACGCTGCCCCTCTAAACGACAACCCCTCTACTGCTCCATCCCTCATGCTTATCGCCCGTAACCGATCCTGCTCCTCCTCCTGCCATTGGAGTTTAGAAGAAAAAAAAGGCAATATTGTACATTTTCAGACAGATGTATATATCTTCAGGGAGGAAATGACCTACCTGAAACAAATATTCTTCCAAACACCGTTGGAAATATATTTATACAGATACGATAAAAAGAGAGATGTATACGGATTCAGGTAGAAAAGGACCTCTTCCTCCTTTCCTACCTGAAAGATAATTGAGAAAGAGAAATATACATCCTGGAAGAGAAAGGATTACATACCAGCGCAGCTGCCTCTTCCATCTTCCAGAACTCTGCAATCGCCTCCTGCAGCAGCAGGCGCTTACCTCGATACCGACCAAGAGGCAGGAGAGGCAACGGTGAGCACAAAGAGCACCAAGGGCAGAGAGAACGCACCAAAGCAGCTGCCTCTTCCATCTTCCAGAACTCTGCAATCGCCTCCTGCAGCAGGCTCTTGCGTCAATGCACAGAAGCAGGAGAGATGGTAGCAGGTAGAAGGAGAGGCAAGGGCGAGAACAAGAAGATAGATACGTACCAGCGCAGCTGCCTCTTCCATCTTCCAGAACTCTGCAATCGCCTCCTGCAGCAGGCGCATGGCATGACCCCGGTTCCAGAAGGATGCGAATTTGTACTTCACTCGGCCTGATGGAAGGGTGTTTATGGGGTAGGGGGGTGGGAGGGGGTGGGGAGACAGGGATGCGAGCGGCGAGGGATGGGAGGGGCATGAGGAGAAAAGGCACAGCAGGCGCATGGCATGACCTGTTCCAGAGCGATGCAAACTTGTACTTCACTCGACCTGCGGGGAGGGAGCGGAATGTGGGGAGGGGGGGATGCGAGGGGGAAGGGATGGGACGGGCATGAGGAGAAAGGGCACAGCAGCAGGTGCATGGCATGACCTCTGTTCCAGAACGATGCAAGATTGTATTTCAATCACTCTGAAAAGAAGCGGGCGTGGAGGGGCATGAGGAGGATTAGGACCACCAACGACATAGCACAGCACAGTATCTGCATGGCATGGCCTCGGTTCCACAATGCAAACTTGTGTTTCACTCGCCATGACAGGATGGAAGAACGTGCAAGCAAGGCAATGCTACTGCGCGGGTAATACTGGGCTGGGAAGAGGGGGCACCCCGTGCCCCCCTGTGCCCAGATGCAGCACCCCCGTCATGGCTGGGTTGATCAGCGGAAGCGTGAATGTGATGGGATGGGGTCAGGGGCTTATGTGCATGCATGTGAGGGGTTAATATAAAGATTGATGTGCCTCCCACATGCCCACTCACCGTCGGGACTTGGTAGAGGGGGCACCCCGTGTCCGCCTGTGCCCAGATGCAGCACCACCGTCATGGCTGGGTTGATCAGCGCGTGTGTGCTGCGGCGAACCTGGCATGGTTAGAGCGGGGGCGTGGGCATGGGAACGGGAAGGAAAGGGAAGAGAATGGAATGTAAGCAGACAGCCCCTTGAAAAAAAACGTTGATTGGAAGCACAAGTAAGAGCTACGCCGTTCTCAAAAAACATTGCTCCTTACGCCTGCCCACCTCACCTCCTAGACAGGCAGCTCAACGCTTGGAAGAAACACATAATACAGTAACCTAAGACAATCACTTCCATGGAGAGCGTGTCGGCGAAACAACTAAAACGAGTGATTTCAGTGTGCCGTGCAAAATCATAGCAGAGGCTGGTGTCAGCATTGATGAAATGGACCTAATACATATGTACCCTCCCTACCAGGTCCATTTTATCAATGATGACACCAACGTCTGCTATCATTTTGCACAGCACTCTGAAATCACTCGTTAGAATTGTTTCGACGACACGCTCTCCATGAAAGTAATTGTCATATGCTTTCCCTTCCAAACCACAGAAAATGCACACAGATACAACAGACAGACAGTTCCTTGAAAACGACATTGGAATGAAAGCACAGAATCAAGCTATGGCCGTTCCAATTCTTTGAAAGAACACATTGCTTCTAACGCCTCCACCTGTCCACCTCACCTCCTCAATGTCTTGATACAGAATGCACACATTTACCTCCTTGAAGACGTGCTAAAGTAGCAGCAAAGTTTTGAGACGTCTCAAAACATCTGTCTACATGCCCAACTCACCTCCTCAACCTCACCTCCTCAATGTCTTGGTACGGAATGCACACAGTTAGCTCCTTGGAGAAGACGTTGGAGTGAAAGCAGAGGTGCGCCCCTGAAAGGAACATGCGGCCGTGGTACAGAAACGACCGCTCCAACGCACACGAGAAGGAATGCCGGATGACCTGCAATGGCAAGAACAGAGGGAAACCACTGAGCACAAAACGTAACAGGTGCGCCCCTGAGAGGAGCATGCGTCCGTGGTAGAAAGAGGAACGCTCCAACGCACAGGAGAAAGAATTTTGGATTACTTGCCAAGCACAGGTCAAGAGGGACTGATGGAATGGCATATGAGAGGAACATGCGGCCGGGGTACAGGAACAAACGCTCCATTGCAGTGCGCACGAGAATGAGTGCTGGATACAGTGCGTCTGCAAGGAACGATTGACGGGGCAGGAATGAACGAGCAAGCACCCATGCTTCTTTTTCCTCACACGCACCTCATTTGGAGGCAGGCCGGAGATTGCTTGCAACGGCACCTGCTTGTGCTTCAACCGCACCTCTGAGCCCCTCCCCTGCTCCTGCTCGAAATTATCCCGTTCGACAATAGCCTCCCTCTCTTCTACCTCTCCTTGTCTGTCCCACGCTCACCTCATCTTGAGGCAAGTTGAATATTGTCTGCAGCGGCCCAGGCTTTAACCGCACCTCCATGCCCCTCCCTGCTCCAGTTGCTGGCCTCTCTCTCTCAAACAATGTCTCATCTATCTCTTTAGAATCGCACACTCTCTCAACTGTCTCACACCACACACACCTCATCTGGAGGCAGCCCAAAGATCGTCTGCAAAGGCCCTGGCTTCAACCGCACTTCTGTTCCCCTCCCCGCCTCCTGCTCTTGCTGCTGCTCACGCCTCTCTCAAACAATGTCTCAACTCCCTCTTTCATCTCGCCCTGAGGGTCTCACACTCACCTCGTCTGGAGGCAGCCCAAAGATCGTCTGCAAAGGCCCTGGCTTCAACCGCACTTCTGTTCCCCTCCCCGCCTCCTGCTCTTGCTGCTGCTCAGGCCGCTCCCCTTCAATAACCTCCCCCTCTTGCTTCTCCCCTGCACCGGCGCCTGTGGGCTGCTGGGAGAGGCGCCGCAGGCGAGACGAACTTATGGCGGCTCCCTTTGCTGCCGTGCTGCACGGGGAGAAGTGAAAGGGGTGAAGGTGGAGAACTGAGTGTCCTCCCCCTCTTGCTTGTCCCCTGCACCGGCGCCTGTGGGCTGTTGGGAGAGGCGGCGCAGGCGAGACGAACTTATGGCGGCTCCTTTCGTGGCCGTGCTGCATGGGGAGATGTGAAACGGGGGTAAAGGTGGAGAGCTCTGAGTGTCCTCCCCCTCTTGCTTCTCGCCCGCACCGGCGCCTGTGGGCTGTTGGGAGAGGCGGCGCAGGCGGGACGAACTTATGGCGGCTCCCTTTGCTGCACTGCTGCATGGGGAGATGTGAAGGGGGTAAAGGTGGAAAACTGAGTGGCCCTTGCCTCTTGCCTCTTCCCTGCCAGTTGCTTCTCCCCTCCCTCTTGCTTCTCTATGGGCCGTTGGGAGAGGCGACGCAGGCGGGATGAACCCATAACAGCTCCCTTTGCTGCGCCGCTGCACTCAGTTGGATTAGAGGGAAGGGCGGGGAAAGGGGAGAAGGGTAGTGAGGAAGAGAGGGATATAATGGGGGGAATGGTATGATTTTTTTTCAATGTGAGACGACCCAATGCGGTTCGGTTTGCAGAGGGCTACAACAGGACTGGTTTGGTAACTTTTGAGTCGACTCAAAAGTCACCTCGGTTCGGTTTGCAGAGGGCTACAACAGGACTGGTTTGGTAACTTTTGAGTCGACTCAAAAGTCACCTCGGTTCGGTTTGCAGAGGGCTACAACAGGACTGGTTTGGTAACTTTTGAGTCGACTCAAAAGTCACCTCGGTTCGGTTTGCAGTGGGCTACAACAGGACTGGTTTGGTAGGAAGGGAGGTGGGAGAAGAGAGGGGGATACGGGGGGGTGCTGTGGTGTGGTGCAGCTATCCCTTTGTGATGCATTCTTTGGCTACATTGCTGCGATGTGTCTTGTAAGAGTGTGGCATAGCGAGGACGCAGCACACGCAAATACATCAGAATGTGAATATCAGCTGAGTACGTGGATGGCGAGGGTGGTTTTGAGTCGACTCAAAAACAAGAAAGAGTGTGGCATAGTGAGGACATAGCGCGCGAAATACATCAGAATGTGAATATCAGCTCAGTATGGCGAGGGGGGAATGGGTTGCGGCTAGGAGAAATCAGAATTCTGAGAAATTCATTGAAGGAGAAAAGCACACACTCAGAATCAAGAGAAATGCGCAGCAGAGAGACTGATGAGGTCAGCACACGCAGGCAGGCTGGGGGAAAAACACACACCTGTCCGCTTTATTCCTTGGCACTGCAGTCACCTGCAGCTGCAAGCACACCTGCAAAAAAGAAAAGAAGGGAAACAGGGGGGACACCAGAAAGACACCTGAAGAACGCCAGGAAAACGCGGTGACTTTTGAGTCGACTCAAAAGACACTTGCAAGAAGGAAAGAAGGAAACAGGGTGACTTTTGAGTCGACTCAAAAGACACTTGCAAGAAGGAAAGAAGGAAACAGGGTGACTTTTGAGTCGACTCAAAAGACACCTGCAAGAAGGAAAGAAGGGAAACAGGGTGACTTTTGAGTCGACTCAAAAGACACCTGCAAGAAGGAAAGAAGGAAACAGGGTGACTTTTGAGTCGACTCAAAAGACACCTGCAAGAAGGAAAGAAGGGAAACAGGGTGACTTTTGAGTTGACTCAAAAGACACCTGCAAGAAGGAGAGAAGGGAAACAGGGTGACTTTTGAGTCGACTCAAAAGACACCTGCAAGAAGGAAAGAAGGAAACAGGGTGACTTTTGAGTCGACTCAAAAGACACCTGCAAGAAGGAAAGAAGGGAAACAGGGTGACTTTTGAGTCGACTCAAAACACACCTGCAAGAAGGAAAGAAGGGAAACAGGGTGACTTTTGAGTCGACTCAAAACACACTTGCAAGAAGGAAAGAAGGGAAACAGGGTGACTTTTGAGTCGACTCAAAAGACACCTGCAAGAAGGAAAGAAGGAAACAGGGTGACTTTTGAGTCGACTCAAAAGACACCTGCAAGAAGGAAAGAAGGAAACAGGGTGACTTTTGAGTCGACTCAAAAGACACCTGCAAGAAGGAGAGAAGGGAAACAGGGGGGACACCAGAAAGACACCTGAAGAACGCCAGGAAAACGCCTGCAAAAAACTTTCGCCTTAACTGCTGCTCGCTGGAATACGTCTCGCGATCTAACGCCTGGAAAAAACGCCTGGAACGACACCTCAAGAGATGCCTGGCAACTAGAATTTCCGCCTCACCTGCCCGAGGTCTCACCTGCCCCAGTTCTCACCTGCCCCAGGCCTCACCTGCCCCAGGCCTCACCTGCCCCAGGCCTCCCCTGCCCCAGGCCTCACCTGCCCCAGGCCTCCCCTGCCCCAGTCCTCACCTGCCCCAGGCCCGTGTCGAGAGCGTACCAAGCAGTGAAAGGGAAAGCCTCTCCTTCCACCACCAAGAAGTCTTGCATACTGAAAAATCTCAAACACGCCCACATAACAAAGAAGAAGAAACCCTCACCTGCCCCAGGTCTCACCTGCCCCAGGTCTCACCTGCCCCAGGTCTCACCTGTCCCAGGTCTCACCTGCCCCAGGCCTCACCTGCCCCAGGCCTCACCTGCTCCAGGCCTCACCTGCCCCAGGCCTCACCTGCTCCAGGCCTCACCTGCCCCAGGCCTCACCTGCCCCAGGCCCTTGTCGAGGGGGTACCAAGCGGTGAAGGGCAGAGCCTCTCCTTCCACCAGCAGGGAAGCTGCACCGAGCTCTGCGTTCTTGGATATGATGTCCCAATCGTATGTGCGCACTGATACCTGTGAGGGCGATTCCGTACAGAAACACATGGAGAACGATTGAGTCCAGTCGACTCAAACAGTATCTCCTGTTGTTCCACCAGCAGGGAAGCCGCACCAAGCTCTGCGTTCTTGGATATGATGTCCCAATCGTACGTGCGCACTGATACCTGCATGGGGCCGCATGGCGCATAGTCACGACTCACAAGCACACACACAACCAACCAAGCGGCCACAGTTGTTTTTCAGGTCAACTAGAAATGCATCTCCTTCCACGAATAAGATGGTGTAACCCCCCATCTGCGTTCTTGAATATGATGGCCCAATCCAATTGTACGTGCGCACTGGAAGGAACCTGCATGGGTGACATCATATCATATCATATCATATCATATCATATCATATCATCACACATAGTCAGCGGCGGGGAGTGTGCATTTTGCAGAGGAGTCTGAAGTGTGCCGCACAGAGGAGCCTCTTGCAGCAACTCACCAGATGAATGGAGCGAAGAAGCGAAGACAGTACAGAGGACTCACCAGTGCGGGCAGGCAGGGGGTGAGGAAGCGAAGGTGGTGCAAGCAAAGGATTTCCTTGAGAGGACTCACCAGGGTGGGCAGGCAGGGGGCGAAGAAACGCTTTTGAGAATTATCAAAAGCGATTTCAACATAGAAGCAAAGACAGTGCAGCAGGCTCACCAGGGCGGGCAGGCAGGGGGTGAAGAAGCGAAACTCCTCTGCCCACATGGGGTTGCGGGAACTGGGGATGACGGAACTGGTGGAAGGGATAAAGGGTCGATAGAAGGTATGGGGGAACCGTTTAGACGTTGGGGGAGAAGAGTGGTTGCGGGGGATGGGTGGGTCAGTGGTTGAGGCGTGGGAGGAGAGGAGCATATGAGAGTGCACGCAGCACAGAAGGGGGAATCTTTCTCCGTTCTGTGGGATAGGATGGAGGAGAGGAGATGGAATTGCAGAAGCTGGGAATGTATGATAGGCTGGAGTGTGGCAGCGTGGGCATCACATTGCAGAGAGGTGAGGGGAGTCGGGGAGGGAGGTGGAGAGGGAGGGGAGGGGGGGGGGGAAGAACGGGTAGACGGCGAAGTATGCGAGAAACAGGGATGGCGAAACTAAGGACAAGCAGCTCAGAAAAAGGAAGTAAGCACGCATGATACATACATGTGTCACAACTTAGGCTTAGAACCGATACATTAGTAATGAGCTAGAAGCTCTTTAAGTACATCCAAGGTGGGCAATGATTGAATGGGAAGGGAATCGGGGGCAATCTCTAGGGATTGGGGGTAATCCCAAGACAATCTCCAATTGGTGGGTTGGAGATTGCTTGGAGATTACACTTGGGTTTGGTTGGGATGTAGGTGTACACCCAACCAAACACAAAGTGTAATCTACATTACGCTAGGATATATAAAGTATAAAATACAAAGTGTGAGATTGAGGGCTAACACTAACAACATGCACATACATACGCATGCAGCACACCTGAATCTTCGTTCTGTGCCACAAGAAACGATGGCGTAGGGATCCGCCGTGCCCCTGATGTTTGCAGCTGACAGGTTGGCATTAGCCATCAACACACACACACACACACACACACACACACACACACACACACACACACACACACTCGCTCGCACGCCCGTGCATGCAGCACACGCACCTGAATCTCCGCTCTGTGCCGCAAGACACGATGGCGTAGGGATCCGCAGTGCCGCTGATGTTTGCGGCTGGCAGGTGTTACAATATATATTGTGTAGCATGCCAACACATGTGACTGTACACCAATTGTGGTGTACAGTTGGGTTGGGACTACACCCAATTTTGGGTGTAGTCTTGCACTTTGGGGTGCCAATCCACCCAATTGTGGTGGAGCCCCCAAATGCAACCCTCTTGACTTGTGGGTACCTCACTTCCCACAATTGAGGTTACCCCAAGCCAAGTGGGCCTAGGGTTGCCTCACTTCTACAAAGTGTGGGCAACCCAACCCACTTGACCTATGGTTCCCTCACTTCCCCAAGTGAGGTCAACCCAACCTATGGTCACTTTCATCCTTCCCTTCCAACCTCCCCTTCCAACTATGTATGCTAGGTTGTTCCTCTAATCTAATTACTTGTTCAATTCACAATCTTCACATGGTATAGAGCTAGTTGTTCCTAAGCCTTTTCTCTCCCTCCCTCAAAGTTTTTTCTTCCCCATGGGCCCACCCCACAGCCACAAACCCCCTACGTGTGGCTCAACCTAGCATCTCCTTGGCACGACCTACGTCGTCGCCGCTCTCCCCTCCCTCCGCCGTGATTGCGCCCTCCTCGCCTGCGGATCCCACCGCCGCGAGTGCATCACCGCCCCCCGTCGCCGCGACACACCGTCGCTGCCCCCCCCCCCCCCTCCCCCTTTTTTCCGCCGCCGCGCCTTCCCTGGCACCGCCTGCACATCCCGCCGCGACGCCTCGTCGCCGCCTCCTCCTCCCCCTGCCGCGACCCCCCGTCGCCGTCTCCCTCCCGCCGCCGCGCCTACTTCGGCGTCGCCCGCGCATCCCTCCGCCGCGACGCCCCGTCGTCGCCTGCCCCTCCCGCTGCCGCGACGTCGCGTCGCCGCCTCCCCCCACCGCCGCCGCGCCTTCCTCGGCGCCGCCTGCGCATCCCGCCGCCGCGACGCCCCGTCGTCGCCTCCTGTCCCGCCGCCGCGACTTCGCGTCGCCGCCTGCACTCCCCATCGCCGCGACCCCCCGTCGCCGCCTACGCATCCCGCCGCCGCGACCCGCTCGTCGCCGCCTGCACGATCCGCCGCCGCGACTTCGCGTCGCCGCTTGCACGACCCGCCGCCGCGACTTCGCGTCGCCGCCTGCACGACCCGCCGCCGCGACTTCGCGTCGCCGCCTGCGCATCCCGCCGCCGCGACCTTCTCGTCGCCGCCTGCACCCCTTGCCGCCGCGACCTTCTCGTCGCCGCCTGCACCCCTTGCCGCCGCGACCTAAAGTCGCCGCCCGCGCGACCTCCTGCCGCGACCTGCTCGTCGCCGCCCGCACATCCCGTCGCCGCGACCTAACAATCGCCGCCCCCGCGTCCTACCGCCGCGACCTGCTCGTCGCCGCCCGCGCATCCCGCCGCCGCGCCTTCCCCGTCGCCGCCCGCGCATCCCTCCGCCGCGCCCTACTCGTCGCCGCTCGCTCATTCCGCCGCCACGATTCCCTCGTCGCCACCCGCGCATCCCGCCGCCGCACGTTCCTCGTAGCAGCCGCCTCATCCCGCAGCAGCAGCGTCATTGGCAGCAACAGCTTCGCCCACAGCTACACCTGCGTTCTCCCTCCCCCTCCCCCTTTCCTCCTCCTCTCCTCCCACGCAGCAGCAGCCGGGACAGCTCAGCAGCCACAGCAGCAACAGCGGCAGCAGCGGCAGCATCAGGAGCAGCGACAGCAGCGGCAGCAGCTGCATCCACCATCTTCCTCCCTCTCCTCCCCTCCTTCCCCCCCCTCCTCCCTCTCAGCAGCAGCAGCGGCAGCAGCGGCAGCAGCGGCAGCAGCGGCAGCAGCGGCAGCAGCGGCAGCAGCGGCAGCAGCGGCAGCAGCGGCAGCAGCGGCAGCAGCGGCAGCAGCGGCAGCAGCGGCAGCAGCGGCAGCAGCGGCAGCAGCGGCAGCAGCGGCAGCAGCAGCAGCAGCCGGAGAAGAACTCCACTCCCCGCAGCAGCACCCCCCCCCTCCCCCCCCCCCCTCTCGGCTGCCGCGGGTCCACCCGCCGTCGCCCTCCCACTTGACCGCCGCGGGTCCACCCGCCGCCGTCCACCTCGAGGCCGCCGCGGGTCCACCCGCCGTCGCCCCTCATTGCTACCACTCCTCCCCCTCTCCCCCCTCCCATTGACGCCTCCTCCGTCAACAAGCTTCAGCTTGCCGCGGACCGCTCGGCGATCAACTGGCATTCCTTCGTCGGGAGCATCCGCCGTGTTCTCCAAGATGCATTCGTCGGACCCTACTGCGTCCTTGACGTCCTCCTCCGCCGCCCGCAAGCCCTCCAGCCCACGGCACCCAATCACCCAGGCGAACCCCCTCCACCCCCCATTCCTCCTGGTCCTCCTCCTCCTGAACCCACCTTGGAGATCGCCACTACCCCAGCGCTCCAAGATGCCGCCGATGCCGCATTTCTCCACGATCGCCGCGAATACCTCATCCGCAAGGCGGAGCATGAGGTTGCGGTACATAACCACGACTTCGCGGTAGCGGAACGCGCCAATCGCCTGGCGCTCCTTGATGAGTACAATACGGCCATGGCGGACTACCTCCCTCGGAGCATCGCATGGGCCACTGCTGACAACCGCGCCTGCACCATCCTCCTCGGCGCACTCCCTGATACCCTCATGCGCCGTTTCCAAGCTCGCGAGATGCGCGCCTCCCTCATCTGGGCCGAGCTCCAGGCCATGTTCGAGCGTCGCGACATCAGCTCTGTCGGCGCCCTGTTCCAGGAGTACTTCTCCATCACCCTCGCCACTTGTGATGGCGCAGTTGACTACGTGGGGCGCATGCAGGAGGTCGCTGATCGCCTTGCGGCACGCCAAGCTGCCCTCCCCGAGCCCCTGCAAATCCACCGCCTCCTCTACAACCTCACCCCGGACTACGAGTCCCGCCTCCATGCCTTCACTGAGGCCAACCCCATGGCCGGCCTCGACGACGTGGTCCAGTGGATCATTGACACGGAGGTCAAGCTCCGCACCCCCGTTGTCAACCTTACCACCCCTCAGTCCTCCTCCTCCACCTCCCTCAACGCTACGCAGCCGCGCAACCAGGGTGGTCGCGGCGGCGGCGGCGGAGGCCGTGGAGCGGGTGGCGGTGGTGGTGGTGGAGGCCGTGGTGGTGGCGGTGGTGGTAGTGGTGGCCGTGGTGGCCGTGGTGGCGGTGGTGGTGGTGCTGGCAGCGCCCCTGCTGGAGGTGCTGTGACTCGAGGCGGACGCCCTGGCACTCTCCCCCCATGCACATATGTGCGTCGCCATGGTCCCCATGCAGGTACCCCTTGCGGCCAGACCAACCATCCCCCCACCACGTGCTTTAAGGCACTCGACGACGCCTGGTTTGATCGCGGCAACACTGGCACCCCTCCTCGCTGGAACTCGGTCACACCTCGCCCCTCCTTAGTGGATATTCAAACCCTCCCCTCTTTCCTTCCTGCTCACCTCCGCATGGTTACCCCCTCCCCACCCTCACAGCTGCAGCAGTTTCAGCAGCACCAGCAGCAGCAGCACCTGTACTTCCACCAGCAGCAGCAGCAGCCGCAGTTTCTCCAGCCCCAGCAGTCGCCGCCGCCGCAGTTCTTCCAGCCACCGCCGCAGCAGCAGCAGCAGTTCCTTCCCCCACCCTGGCAGCAGCAGCCACTCACCTTCGGCACAGCGGCCATGGCCGCTCATACCTCCCTTCCTCCTCCTCCCCCCTGGGGTTCCCTCCCCTCTGCCCCCCCAAGTGTTCCCGACACTTCTGGTAGTTTCCTTGGTAATATCAGTGTTGCACCGTCCGTCGCTGCCATGTATCCCTCTGCTATCAATGAGACTTCGTTTCAGTACCCCGTCCCACCCCCTCCTCCCTCTTCTCCCACCCTGGACTTTGTCCTTGACAGTGGAGCCACTGAAACCGCACTGAAAGACGCTGGCACTCTCACCCCACTACCACTTCCCACTCAGGTTCATGGGGCTGATTCCAGCTTTTCCATTCCATGCACTCACCTCTCCACCCTCCCTTGCACTGCCTTCCCCTCCGGTAAGGTCACAGGTCTCCACATCCCCACTCTCCGCAACAACCTCCTCTCCCACCGTGAGCTCCAAGGTGTTGGTATCACTGCCATTTACCCCGGTTATGCCAATTACTGTGATCTCTACCAAACCTCCTCCGGTCGCTTCCTTCTCCGCATTCCGCTTTGCCCCCGCACTCGCCTCTACACACTCCGCACGCCTCGCCCATCCTTCTGCCACGTCACCACTCGTTCCGGTGCTTCCACCGGTCCACCTCCTCCTCCTTTACTTCCCCCTTCCCCTCCCCCTCAAGTATCCTCTTCTCCCTCCCCACCATCCTCCTCCTCCCCTCCCGTTCCTTCCATCACCCCATCTCCCTCCTCCTCCACTACCCTCTCCCACCCTGCTGTCCTCTTACACCACAGACTCGGCCATCCCAACTTCACCACCCTTCGCACCACAGTCACCTCTCGCCTCCTCCGCAGCCTTCCTCCTGTTTTACCTCCCCTCCCCTCCTCCCCCTCTCCCCCATGCCCTTCATGCATTCACGGCAAGCTCAAACAGTCCCCCCACCACAGTCATCCCACCTTCGCCGCCGCCCCCATTGACCTTGTGCACATGGACCTCTGGGGCCCCTATCCCATCCGCTCCCGCCAGGGGCATCGGTACATGCTCGTCCTCGTTGACGACCACAGCCGGTACTCCACCACCTTCTTCCTTCACACGAAAGACCAGGTGCCGGCAGTGGTCATCAACTGGGCCGAACAGTGCCGCAATCACTTCAAACGCCCCATCGGCCGCCTTCACTCTGACGGTGGGGGTGAGTTCATCAATAACACCCTTGCCACATACTGCAACACCTACGGCATCCAACAGACCTCCACCCTTCCCCACTCCCCTCAGCAGAACGGCATTGCTGAGAGCCGCATTCGTGAGATCACCAAGATAGCTCGCTGTCTCATTGCTCATGCCTCCACCCCTCCTTCCCTCTGGAGCTATGCCCTCCTCCACGCCGCTCTTCTCCTTAATCTCCGCTCCCACCCTCAGCATCCTTCCTCCTCCCCTACAGAGCTTTGGTCCAACGCCAAACCCGACGCTGCCGGCCTTCGCGTTTGGGGCTGCAAGGCCTTCGTTCTCATCCCACCCGCCGACCGCTCCCGCGCCGCTGGCAAGCTTGCTCCTCGCGCCCTGGAATGCGTTTACCTTGGGCACAATCGCGACTCCCCAGGCTACCTCTTCCTCCACCCTCCCACCAATCGCCTCATCCGCAGCGGCGACGTCGTCTTCGACGAATCCGTCCCCTATTACTCCACTCCTCCCCCTGATCCTCTCCCTCCTCCCACTCGTCCCCTTGCTTGGACCGACACCGTCCTCCCGCCCCTTCTCCCTCCAGCCCCTCTCCTCCCACCCGTCGCAGCTCCGCTCCCGCCCTCCTCCTCCGCCGATGTCTACGACCCTGCCGCACCCGCTTCCCCTGCTCACTCGGCCGCACCCCCTCCCCCCCCTCCCTCCTCCTCTCCCTCTCCCTCCTTCCAGCGGCCGGATCAGCAGCAGCAGCAGCAGCAGCAGCAGCCGCAGCAGCAACAGCAGCAGCAGCAGCAGCAGCCGGGACAGCAGCCGGGGCAGCAGCAGCAGCAGCAGCCGGGCCAGCAGCAGCAGCAGCAGCGGCAGCCGGGACAGCAGCAGCAGCAGCAGCAGCAGCAGCAGCAGCAGCGGCAGCAGCAGCAGCAGCAGCCTCAGCAGCCTCAGCAGCCGCAGCACCAGCACGGTCAGCCGCAGCCGCAGCAACAAGGGCAGCAGCTTCCGCAGCACCAGCAGCAGCAGCGGTGTCGTGCCACTTCCCGTTCCTCCCCCTTCCTCCTCCCTTACATCCATACCCGCTCTGTGGACAAAATCCTTGGGGCTCCTCCTCCTGCCTCCATTCAGCTCCTTGAGGACTCCCATGAGGAGTTTCTTAACATTCGGGAGCACACTCCATTCCTTGCCGCCCTCTACCTTGACTTCCTGGGCTTTCCTGTCCTTGGCGCCACTACTACCCCCACCATCTTCACTCCCTCCACCTTCCAGGAAGCCATCACCTGCTCTGATGCGGATAAATGGATAGCAGCGATCTTCCTGGAGTGTGAGGCTTTCATTCGCAACGACTCCTTTGTCGATGTCCCCCTCCCTGCTGGCGCTAATCTCGTTGACGGCAAATGGGTCTTTCGGGTGAAGCAGCTGCCGGGCGAGGAACCAGTGTACAAGGCCCGCTACTGCGCCAAGGGGTTCACGCAGACTTGGGCTGAGGACTACTGGTTCACCTACGCCCCCACCGCCAAACCACCCACCCTTCGCGCCGCCATGGACATTGGTGCACGTGACGACATGGAAATCGACTCCATGGACGTCTCCAATGCGTTCCTGCAGGGCGACCTGCATGAGCGCATTTTCCTCCGGCGACCCCCCGGGTTCCACGCAGCCTTTCCTGAGAACACTGTCTGGCAGCTGCGTCGCCCCGTCTACGGCTTGAAGCAGGCACCGCGTGAGTGGCATGCGAAGCTGGCTGCCACCTTGGGGTCCCTCGGCTTCTCTGCTTCCCACTCCGACGCCAGCCTCTTCATCCGCTCCTCCCCCCGCTGCTTCTTCATTCTGGTATATGTCGACGACATGATCCTGCTCTCTGACACCAAGGCCGACATGGAGCAGGTGAAGCTGTCCCTGCAGCAGCGGCTCAAGTGCAAGGACCTTGGCGCCCTCACTCACTACCTCGGCATGACCATCACGCGCAACCGCCCTGCTCGCACAATCACCCTCTCCCAGTCCCATTACATCGGCCAGGTCTTGGAGAAGTTCGACATGGCGCAAGCCAAGCCTGTTTCCACCCCGCTCCCCTTCGGTCACCAACTCGCTCCACCCACCTCCCCCACCTCCTCCCCCCACCCCTATGCCGAGCTCGTTGGGTCCTTGATGTACGCAATGATGTGCACCCGCCCCGACCTCGCCTACCCCATCAGCGTGCTCGCTCGCTTTGTCGGCACCGGTCGTCACTCTGAGGAGCACTGGAAAGCTGCCAAGCGGGTCCTCCGCTACCTTCGCGGGACCAGGGACCTTGCCCTCACCCTCGGCGGCCCTTCCCGTCCCCTTCTCTCGGGCTTCAGTGACTCCTCATGGGCTGACACGCAGCCGGACCGCCGCTCCTCCCAGGGCTACGGCTTCACCCTTGGCAGCGGCCTCATCAGCTGGCGCTCCACCCGCTCCTCCGCCATCTCTCTCTCCACCTGCGAAGCCGAGCTCTACGCTGGCACCATGGCCGCCCAGGAGTCGCGCTGGCTCTGCTTCCTTCTTACGGAGCTTGGCGCCCCCCAGACGTGCCCAACTCTCTGGTATGACGCCAGCACCATCCATCTCACTCAGGACCTCGTCTATCACGCCCGCTCCAAGCACATCGAACTCCGCTACTTCTTCGTTCGCGAGCTCGTCCAGAAGGGCCTCATTGCCGTTCGCAAGATTGCAACCGAGGCCAACTTGGCCGACATCTTCACTAAGGCCCTCCTTCGCCCCGCGCACTCTGCCTTCCTCCGCCTCATTGGCCTTGCTCGCCCGGGCGCCCCTTGATTCAGGGGTTGTTCTCTTCTTGTGTTAGCATGCTAAGGGGTTGTGTTACAATATATATTGTGTAGCATGCCAACACATGTGACTGTACACCAATTGTGGTGTACAGTTGGGTTGGGACTACACCCAACTTTGGGTGTAGTCTTGCACTTTGGGGTGCCAATCCACCCAATTGTGGTGGAGCCCCCAAATGCAACCCTCTTGACTTGTGGGTACCTCACTTCCCACAATTGAGGTTACCCCAAGCCAAGTGGGCCTAGGGTTGCCTCACTTCTACAAAGTGTGGGCAACCCAACCCACTTGACCTATGGTTCCCTCACTTCCCCAAGTGAGGTCAACCCAACCTATGGTCACTTTCATCCTTCCCTTCCAACCTCCCCTTCCAACTATGTATGCTAGGTTGTTCCTCTAATCTAATTACTTGTTCAATTCACAATCTTCACAGCAGGTTCTTGGCTGCTAGCAGATCGACCTTCGGGAGGGGAGGGGGGGGGAGGGGGAGAGGGAGGGTGAGGAGGAAGGGGAAGGGGAGAGGGAGGGGAAGAGGGGGTTTAATGAATTCGGGATCCGCAGTGTTGCTGATGTTTGCAGCTGGCAGGTTTAGCTGCTAGCAGATCGACCTTCGGGAGGGGAGAGTGAGGGGGGGGGGGGAAGGAAGGCAGTGCGGGAGGGGGGAAGGGAAGGGAGTGGGGGATGGGAGATGAAGGGATTCGGGATCGCACAGTGCTGCTGGCGTTTGCAGCTAGCTCTTGCTGCTAGCAGATCGACCTTGGGGAGGGGAAGAAGGGGGGAGGAGAGGAGGAGGGGGAGGGGGCGGGGGCGGGAGAGGGGGAGGGGGACAGGGAGGGGGAGTGGAGGGAAGGAGACGGGAAAAGGGGATTGGGGATTGGGGGTTCAGCAGTGCCGCTGATGTTTGCAGCTGGCAGGTTCTTGATTACTAGCAGATCAACCTTTGGGAGGGGGGGGCGGAGGGGTTAAGGGGGGATCACTTGTACTCCAAAGCATCCTTCTCACTCACTTTTCGCTTCATAGATCATGGGTTGAGGCACCACACGAGACACAGCCCTTTCTGCACCAGCTTCCACCCCAGGAATACCTACTGCTCACTTTCACTCCAATAAAGCTCTTCCCTTTAATGATGACTCACTTTCACTTCATAGATCATGGGCTGAGGCGCCACAGGAGACACAGCCCTTTCCGCACCAGCTTCCACCTTTCGAGTACCTGAAACTCACTTTCATTCCAATACGAACTTTTCACTTGAATGATGACTCACTTTCACTTCAAAACTCACTTTCACTGCATAACTCACTTTCACTTCGTAGATCATTGGTTGAGGCGCCACAGGAGACACAGCCCTTTCCGCACCTGCTTCCACCTTTGTACCTACTCCTCCAATCCCCCCTGTTTCCCCCCCTGCGGCTCCCCCTGTTCTTGCAGCAGAAAACGCAGCGCCACCAGCCGTTGATCGGATTGAGATCGCTGCCGTGTCCGATGCTGACCGTTGGATCCCCTCTAGCAGCCTCCTCTTCTCTGTTCCAGTGTCAGGAGTTACACCACTGGTCGAATCTGGGCCGTTGATTCTGTCACCAGCAGCAGCAGCAGCAGCACCTTTATTCAGTGGGGAAAGGTATTCCATGGACCCTCCTGTGCGCACATGCCCCCCCAACGCGCCCCGTTCCGCCTCCCCATCCGCGCCTGCAGTGGCGGAAGCGGGGGCAGCGGAGACTGCTGCGCTGAGGGGGACTGGCGCAGGGGGAAGCGTGTCCGCGCAAGACAGGGACTGGTTGGGTATTATGGCCTGAGGAACCGCCGGGGAGAGGGGGGAGTGGAGAGGAAAGGGGAGAGGGGTGGGTTGGAGGGGGTTGGGTGGTGTTGGATGATTAGGGAAGGGAAAGGGGTAGGGGGTGAGGGGGCGAAGGGTTTTGGATTGGGTTGGTTGGAGTAAAAAGAGTATTGAGGATGTATCATGCAACTCAGCTGACTGATATACCTGCACCACGGCTTGTGCCAAAACGCATCAAAAGAGAAAATAAAAAAACAAACAAACAAATAAACAAACAAAAAAAACAGACAAACAAACAAATAACAACAACAACAAAACAAAAACTACAAACAAAATGGTGAGTTCGATTCGGAAGACAAGGAGGAGAGGAGGGAAAGGTAGGCCAGAGGGGAGAGAGGACAGCGTGGCAGGCGACAAAATACTTATTAAACGGGTACTACTCGCTATTGGCAGACTCACCACGGGTATAAGCGTTTCCTCTTGGATGTTCCCACCCGCTGCAGCCGCAACAGCACCAGCCGCAGCTCTAGTCGAAGCAGCTAAAGTCCCACTCGCACCTCTCCCATCCCCTCCTCCTCTCCCATCGCCTCCTCCTCTCCTCCCTCCTCCTCCCTCCACCCCTCCTTTCCCTCCTCCACTAGTTCCCCCCACCCCCGTCGCCACCGCTAACTGCATTATATCCTGCCTCGGTCGCGTTCTAGACCCGATCCCCTTCTTAGCTACCTCCTTAGAACTTAGTCCTAGCAGCGGCTGCGCGGTCACCGGAACCGCGGCCATTCTCTTCGAATCCACGGCTGCCAGCTGGCGCACCGGGATTGCGAGAGCGGCGGTTAGCGGATCTGGCGCCGCGAGTAACGCGCGAGCTTGCTGCTCCCTGACACGTCGGCTTGCCTCCTCCCAGTTCGCCTCCTCTTCTTCCCCCCCGCCATTCACGCCGGTTTCACCGGCAGATGCGGCCGAAGCGTCGTCTGGGGAGGGATTCTCCGCGCTGCCTTCGGGTTGGGTGAGATATAGGAGAAAGGCTACAAACGAGGCGGCTATGAACGCGGTTAATGCTTCGAACCAGGACGGGAAGAGGTGCGGCCAGATCGCTTCTATAAAATCCTCCATGAGCGGCGATGAAGCTATGAAGATTAAATCGACGGTGAGGCCGCGTTCGCATGCTACACGGGTCCTTTTGAGAAGAGAGAAAACGAAAAAGGTTATACGCCGTGCTCCTACGACTAGGGTAACCAAATTCCGCGGTTTGGACAACACTCGCGAAACCACTTCTCCGAAACAACGACGAAGGCCCGTACGTAACTTGCTGGAGCTAGGTCACCTGTGGATGGGAACCAGAAAGGCCGGCCAAATTACTTTCCCAGATTCTCGTCCCTGTTTACTCCTGTAGGGTGCTTTGTGTCTGCCTACTGCTTGGGGGGTGCTGCACTGACGTGATCAGGAAGTCAAGCACAAGCTGCTCTGTTCTGGTACGGTGGGTTGCGGTTTGGAGGTCTGAAGTAGAGTGGAGAAATATGAAGAGGGTGTGATATGAGGGTGTATCCTGTTCTCTATTTTTCCTGAGGTTTGCGGCGGGACATGGCGAAACCAGGAGCCAGCTGGATGGCGCGGAACTCTCGATGGTTCCTCCAGGTTGTAATGTTTTCTCAACGAAAATGAAATTGAGCTCGCGCGGTGCCAGCCGCAAAACGGGTTGGAACAATGGAAGATTCGTAGGAACATCAGACACGCCAGTCTGACATCATCGAAGCGGAGTGATAGGCTTGCATGAAGATTACTCATTTTACTGCCAGCTGTAGCGGAGCACTGTAGATTAACATTTCATTGTGTTACAAGAACTTCAAATTTTTTTGATAGAAAGCTTCCCTAATCTTAGGAGACGGGGCTCTTGCCTCCAATCTAAATGCGTGAAAACTCTGCGGTGCACATTTATTATAATGCAAACGAGTAAAATTAATGTGTGCTTGTTTACATGTGTTCATACCCTGTCTTCATCAAGAGAAAGGAGCCGTGTCAATGGCATTCCCCAAATCGGCAATAAGGTCATCCACGTCCTCAATGCCCACCTGCCACAAAACAGGTTGCGAATAATCAAATAGCATCGCTTTGAATGCATTCAAATATAAAACGGTTATGACGACGGTATATCCAAACATGGGGAGAAAGCAAAGGAGAACAGGGAGGAGAGAGTGGGGAACGGAAAGAGAGTGGGCATGCTTACAGAAAGGTGAATCAGATCTTCAACTATGCCTCGCTCCTTGCGCAGATGGTCTACTGCGAGGCGTCTCAAATCAATGCTACTCTAACGTGGAAATGTAAAGGAAGAGGCATGCTTACAGAGAGGCGAATGAGGTCTTCAACCAGGCCTCGCTCCTTGCGCACATTGGCAGGTATGCTGGCATGCGACATGAAGCATGGCACTTGAGGTGCCTCAAGAGTAAAAAGGGGCAGGGGAGGGGTGGGCGTTCAAGGGTAGGCTTACTTACAGAGAGGAGAATGAGGTCTTCAACCAGGCCTCGCTCCTTGCGCACATCCGCTGGGATGCTTCGAGAGGTTTCAAAACAAAGCTACTCCAGCATGAAAACTGGAAGGGGCATGCTTACAGAGAGGCGAATGAGGTCTTCGACAAGCCCTCTCTCCTTGCGCACATCGGCTGGGATGCTGGCATGCGACATGAAGCATGGCACTTGAGGTGCCCCAAGAGTAGAAAGGGGAGGGCGGAAGGGGTGGGCGTTCAAGGGTAGGCTCGCTTACAGAGAGGCGGATGAGGTCTTCGACAAGGCCTCGCTCCTTGCGCACATCGGCAGGGATGCTGGCATGCGACATGAAGCACGGCAGGCTGATAGACGTCGCCACACTGCCTGCAAGCCCCCTCGTTATGGTCACACACCATCATGCAGTACAATCACACATGCGATGTAGTCACAGTGTGAAGATGTGAAAAGCAGTCGCGATTGAATGCAATCACCACGCAGTCCTACGTTCAGTTACAAGAAGAAACAGTGCCACCAAACACAGCGATATTTTTTATAAGGACACTGACAATTCCAGGTGAGGGTTCTGTATGGCTGCACTATCGTCTACATTCCCGTATCTTTGGTTTTCGATTCACTAATTTATATAACTTTGCACGTACTCTCTTCATGAGCCTTGCTTGCTTCACGTTTCAGGGATTGGCTTTGTCACCCATCGAACACCAAAAGGGGCAAAGACCGCACTTGCTGCGCCGTCTAAGGATATTAACGTGAGTACATATCGCTGCCTGTTAGGACGTCACATGTAACAGGCAGCGATATGTACTCACGTTAAAAAACTTAGACGGCTCAGGAAGTGCTGTTTTTGCCCCTTCTGGTGTTCGATGGGTGACAAAGTCAATCCCCCTGAAACGTATGTGCAAAGTTATATAAAATAGTGAATGGAAAACCCGAGATAAGGGAACGTAGACGTTAGTGCAGCCATGCAGAACCCTCACCTGGAATTGCTTATCATACCGAAGCTGACAGCAATGTTAGCAAGCTTCATCGTCTCAACAATGTGCTTCGACGCGTTGATGTTGCCTGTTGTGAAACTGAGCACTGACCCCGCACCCTTGGCCTCATAATGGCTGTTCTTCCTCCAACCAGAACCGCTCTCATCCCACCCAGTACTGCTCTCATCTCTTCTTACCGAAGCTGACAGCAATGTTGGCAAGCTTCATCGTCTCAACAACGTGCTTCCAAGAATTGATTTCCTTCTTTTGCGGCACCTCAAACCAAGGTTTTACCCAACACAGCTCTCATCCCACCCAGCACTGCTTGCATCAAATCTTACCGAAGCTGACAGCGATGTTAGCAAGCTTCATAGTCTCAACAATGTGCTTCGACGCGTTGATGTTGCCTGTCGTGAAACTGAGCACTGACCCCGCACCCTTGGCCTGCGAAACATACAGATGAGAGAAAAACGAACGAAAACAAAAGAGACTAGAAAGAATATGAAAGAGAAAAAACGGAAAACACCAGTTAAATGTGGTGAAATAGAACGGAAGTACAATATCTGGTCGGACAGGCAAGTGAGTGAAAACTTGGAAGCTGCGAGTGAAGCACCAGAGATAAGCACCTGGGAGAACACCTGAAAGGGGCACCAAGAGAAGCACCTGAAAGTGCAAGAGAAGTGCAGCGCGTGGTTGGTTGGCAAGAGAAGGCAGACCAGCATAGAACAGTGCGCTCACTGAAGTTCCGCGATGGCTCACAACCGGTGTAGAAGAGAGCACACCTCCTTATGCACGGGTGCTTTGCGAGAAAACACTCTAATGCAGTGCACTGTGAAAGGCACCTGTGCTGTGACCTAGGCTGGAAAACACCTGGCTACAGACTTGGGCTTGTAAATCACCTGACACGTGACCTAGGTCCGAAAAGCACCTGGGAGAAGTGCAGGTCACGGTTGGTATGAGAGGGCAGACCGGCATAGAACACCCTCTCCACTCGTGGGTGCGGGATTTGACAGAAACAAACATGAACCGTGTGTGCGAGAGAGATAGACAGAGAGAGAGACCATGGGTGTGACTGGCCTAGGCTGGGGAAGCACCTGGGAGAAGTGCAGGTCACGATTGGTATGAGAGGGCAGACCGGCGTAGAACACTCTCTCCACTCGCGGGTGGCTGTCCAGGAACTCGGCTATTCTCTGTGCATTGGCCTGCGCAAACGCAGAAGGCAGTGGTGAAAGGTGGTGGTGCTTGAGTTCACAGTAACACCCAGTAACCATTTCAAAAGAGTGGAGAGACCTGAAGCATTCTTTCTACTCAGGGGTGGCTGTCCAGGAACTCGGCTATTCTCTGTGCATTCACCTGCACACAAGCATCAGCATGCAAGGGTGAGAAGCAGTGGCAGCATGCAAAGGGCGCAAAGCAGCAGCAGTATGGAAGGGTGAGACGATGGCTGTTGGGTCAGCCTCAATAGCACCTAATACACACACACACACACACCATCACACGCACATACACACGTCTACCGTACCTGCTGTCTCTCCAGTCGCAGTGGCAGAGTCTTACTTCCCCGCAGGCACACCCAGCAGTAAAAGGGGCTCAGCCCTCCTCTTCCTCAACACACACCCACTCACATCTCCCCACCTTCCACACACCCGCACACAGGCATGTAAATTCCCACCTGCTGCCGCTCTAGCCGCAGCGGAAGCGTCTTGATTCCCCGTAGGCACACCCAGCAATCAAAGGGGCTTAGCCCTGACCCCTCGGCGTTCTGCACAAAGTAGATTTCTTTCGCCAGGCTGGGGAGGGATGGGGGGGAAACGAAGAACAGATGAAGGAAAGGGAGAACAGGAGTTGGCAATAGGAGAGATCTCCAAAGGGGCTCAGCCCTGACCCCTCCGCGTTCTGCACAAAATAGATCTCCTTAGCCGGGCTGGGGGAGCGGAAAGAGAGTGAAAGGGAATCAAAGGAAGGGAACACTTACTCACTCAGATGTTCACAGCCAGAATGCTGGCCATCACATTGCTGTGACCGCTGATGAACTTGGTGCCGCTGTGTTGGTGTGGGTATGTGTGTGTGCGTGTCCCCAGCACTCACTCTAGGTCGTTCACAGCCAGTATCCCAGCCATCACATCGCTATGTCCACTGATGAACTTGGTCCCACAATGCATCACAATGCCTGCTCCCACCTGCACCAAGAGGGACTGGGGTGCGTGTGTGGGCGTGGTTGAGTGTGCGTGCGCGTGGGTGTGCAGGTGTGTGTGGCGCACATGTCCCCAGCACGCACTCACTCTGGATCATTCACAGCCAGTATCCCAGCCATCACGTCGCTATGCCCGCTGATGAACTTGGTACCGCTGTGCATCACAATGTCTGCTCCCAGCTGCAGCGAGAGAGAGCCTGGGGCGCGTGTGTGGGCGTGGTTGAGTGTGCGTGCGCGTGGGTGTGCAGGTGTGTGTGGCGCACATGTCCCCAGCACGCACTCACTCTGGGTCATTCACAGCCAGTATCCCAGCCATCACGTCGCTATGCCCGCTGATGAACTTGGTACCGCTGTGCATCACAATGTCTGCTCCCAGCTGCAGCGAGAGAGAGCCTGGGGCGCGTGTGTGGGCGTGGTTGAGTGTGCGTGCGCGTGGGTGTGCAGGTGTGTGTGGTGCACGTGTCCCCAGCACTCACTCGGGGTCGTTCACAGCCAGCACACCAGCCATCACATCGCTATGCCCGCTGATGAACTTGGTACCACTGTGCATCACAATGTCTGCTCCCAGCTGCAGCGGCTTTGAGAGCACGGGTGACATGATGCTGTTGTCTACGAGCAGGAGCGCACCCACTGAGTGGGCTATTTCCGCTATGGCCTGAAGGTGGGCAAGTGAGGGAGAAAGAGCAGAAGAGAAAGGGGGGAAGAGATGACATTCACTGGTATTCTCTCGACAGCACGGGAGACATGATGCAGCGGCACGTCAACTGCAGCGGCTTTGAGAGCACGGGAGACATGATGCTGTTGTCTACTAGAAGCAGCGCACCCACTGAGTGAGCGATCTCTGCTATGGCCTGAAGGAAAGGAGAGCGTGGGGAGAGAGAGGGAGGAGAGAGGGTGGCACTGTTTTCAGCTGCAGCGGCTTTGAGAGCACGGGTGACATGATGCTGTTGTCTACTAGAAGCAGCGCACCCACTGAGTGAGCGATCTCTGCTATGGCCTGGAGGGAGGGAACCAAGAGAAGAGAGAGGAGATTTGCAGAGGCACGTCAACTGCAGCGGCTTTGAGAGCACGGGCGACATGATGCTCTTGTCTACCAGTAGCAGCGCACCCACTGAGTGAGCGATCTCTGCTATGGCCTGAAGGAAAGGAGAGCGTGGGGAGAGAGAGGGAGGAGAGAGGGTGGCACTGTTTTCAACTGCAGCGGCTTTGAGAGCACGGGAGACATCTTGCTGTTGTCGACCAGTAGCAGCGCACCCACTGAGTGGGCTATTTCCGCTATGGCCTGTGAGGAAGGGAAAGAAGGGAAGAGAGAGGGAGGGGGGCACTGTTTTCAGCTGCAGTGGCTGTGACAGCCCTAGCGATATTAACAGTGGATGCTTGTAAAACGTCAAGAAGAGGAACGAGGAAGAGAGGCGGGCGGGAGTGCAGTGCAGTGCAGTGGGATGACTTGCGCTAATATTGCTGATTATTATCCGCGGGTTGGTGGGGCTTTCCATGAGCACCAGCAGAGAGAAGGGGCGTGGAGGGGGGCACAGTGAGGTGCCGTGCGGTGCAGTGCAGTGCAGTGCGGTGCTCCTACTCAACCCTGATATCGCTGATCATCATCCGCGGGTTGGTGGGGCTTTTCATGAGCACCAACAGAGAGAAGGGACGTGGAGGGGGGCACAGAGAGGTGCTGTGTGGTGCAGTGCAGTACGGTGCTCTTACTCAACCCTGATATCGCTCCTCATCATCCGCGGGCTGGTTGGAACTCTAAATAGGCACCAGTGGAGAGGACGGGTGGGAACGTGAAAACGGGGGTTGTATAGGGGCACAGTGCAGTGTAGTACAGTGCAGTGCAGTGCAGTGCAGTGCAGTACAGTGCGGTGTCTCACCCTGATATCGCTGATCATCATGCGGGGGTTGGTGGGGCTCTCCATAACGACCAGCTTGGTGCCGGGCAGCACTGCCGCCCTCACTGCTTCCAGATCCGTTGTGTCCACCCGCCTGAAGGGTTGGAGGAGAGGGACGGAGAGGAAGGAGAGGGAGGAGATGGAGGAGAGGGGCTCTCCTGTCCATGAGCACCAGCTTGGTGCCGGGCAGCACTGCCGCCCTCACTGCTTCCAGATCCGTTGTGTCCACTCGCCTGAAGGGAAAGAGGGAGCAGAGAAAACTTTTGAGGCGCCTCAAAAGTCGTCCATTGTGTTGTGTCCACCCGCCTGAAGGGAAAGAGGGAGCAGAGAAAGAGAAGAGTGGTGAGTAAAGTGAGGCACGAACAGGGGCTTCCCCTTTCCAGGTGGGGCTCTCCTTAGCGACGAGCAGGGAGAGGGAGAGAGACGGAGAAGAAAGGGAGAGAGAAGGAGGGATGGTGAGTAGAGTGAGACACGGACAGGGGTTGGTGGGGCTTTCCATGACGACCAGCTTGGTGCCGGGCTGCACTGCCGCCCTCACTGCTTCTAAGTCTGTTTTGTCCACCCGCCTATTGGGGGAGGGAGAGAGAGAAGGAAGGTAGGAGAGAGACGGAGGAAAAATAAAAGAGGGTTGGTGGGGCTTTCCATAACGACTGGTTTGGTGTCTGCCTGCACTGCCGCCCTCACTGCTTCCAGGTCTGTTGTATCTACCCGCCTGGGGGGGAGGGAGTAGGGCGGAAGAGTGGAAGCTCAACCAGAGAGCAGCAAAGAGATCACCTGCAAGCAGCAGAGGGCCCACCTGAAAACAACAAAACACCCACCTGACAGCAACAGAAGACCCACCTGACAGAAACACCAGCGCGAGGCACCACTCTTGACAGCAGCCGATCTGTGCCTCCGTAAATGTCGTCACCCGCTACAATGGAGGAACCTGAAAGTCCCACATGAAATGTCAGAGACCAGTGCAGGACAGGGGAAGGGAGGCAACGGGAGGAGACATTTTTTTAGGCGCCTCAAAAATACACCCGCTACTATGGAGACCCTGAAAGTCCCATGTGAAATGTCAGAGCCCGGTGCAGGACAAAACAGGGGAGGCAAGGCAACGAGAGGAAGCTCTCGCGAGAAGTGACGAAATCTCATTTGCGGTAACGAAATCACACCAGTGGTAACGAAATAAGAAATACAACCAGTGGTAAGGAGATTTCACTGGTGGTTACAAATCGCACCGGTGGTAACCAGCCTGGTGGCTGCAGCAAGGGCCGCCATCCCCGTGCTGAAGACAAAAGCACGATGCGCCCCCTCCACCTCTGCTAGCAGCCTGCAGGGGAAGTGATGAGAAACGGGGAGAAGCGGGGAGAGGAGGCAGGCAAGAAGAAAAAGCAGCAGACGTTGATTAGAAATGCAAAGGCACGATGCGCCCCCTCCACCTCCGCTAGCAGCCTGCAGGAGGGGAGAAGCGGGGAGAAGCGGGGAGAAGCGGGGAGAAGCGTGGGGAGAAGCGTGGGGAGAAGCGTGGGGAGAAGAGGGGAGAAGCGGGGAGAAGAGGCAGGCAAGAAGAAAGAGCAGCGTACGTTGATTAGAAAGGCTAACGCACGGTTGGGAAAACAGGGGGAGATGTTGATGGGAAGAACGGGAGAGGTGACGTTTGGGAAGAAAGAGAGAGGTGATGCTGGGAAGACAGGGTAGGTGTTTCTTTGAGCAAAGGGGAAAGGTGTTATTCAGAAAATAAGTGTTTCCCTGTTTTCCCTCCCACACCTCTCTTCGTTTCAAACTCACTTCGCACACACTTCCCACTCACTTCACACTCACTTCTCGAGTGCATCTCTCGTAGGGTTACCACTGCGAGTGTAGTCATACGCATTATTCTCTGTCGCAGAAACCTGTCGCATTACAAACAGGGAGAGGGAAGGTTCGGATAAAAACAGGGTAAATAATTGCAGCATGCATTCGGAAGACAAATGGATGAAGTGCTAGCAGCATGAATCCAATAGGACGTGTCGTTTTCTACAATGCAATCGCCAAGTTAGTCAGATGACCTTCAATTGTTCAACTACTCTCATGGCCGCACTTATTTTAATGCTCAAATCTTCAAATGCTCAAATCTTCAAATGCTCAACTCCCATGGCTCAGTTCAGTTTATTCAAATCTTCAGAAGTCCAAATGTTCGACTCCCATGTTCCAGTTGCCAATGCGCATTGGCGATCCCCACTCGATCATTCTCTCCTCTTCCCCACCCCGGTTTTCCTCTTTTACTCCCGGAGCCACAGTTTAACCTGACGGAATGTAGCCGTTTGGTAGATGGGAGTGCTGACGGCTCCGTACGGATCGAAGTCCGCGCCCTTATAATGAAGGATCCGCGTCGCGAGGCTCTGTGAACCGTCCGATCCTGATCGCTCCTCCGCCTGACCCTTGCCTGCATCGTTGCCCCCGCTGCTGTCGATGCTATTTCTCGCCGCCATATACCGCGAATCGCGCCGCGAACTGCGGGAAACTACAGACAGGGAGGAAATGTTCCTAGTAGGAACCAGCGAACCGCATTGCAAGGAACGGAGAAGCGAGCTCGAGCGGGGATGAAGGGACGAATCTCGCGTGACGGCCGCGCTTGACTCGCATGGGAAGCAAGTAATGGTCTGTGGGTGTGAGAGCGAAGCGGCTCGGTTCAGAAAGCTCATGCTGACAACCCGTTTGGCGAGAAAACCAAGTCAAGGAGCAACAAGATTCGGCTAGGATGAGATGAGACCCACCACTAAGATTGGTGTGTGGGGTGGGAAGTGTGGTCACGGGTTCTGGTTTTGCGTACGCGATAAGAGGTGTACCGAGCAACTTTCGGTTCTCTGGATAAGCTTGTTCAATATATCATTCAACATTCCTCTACCCTTTCCTTTCCTAGGCCGGTTGGCAATGTTCAGTTCAGAGTTACAAAACCTTTCAAGTTTCAGGTTAAGAAAAAAAAATACAACAAACAGATTTATAGTACACATTGTAACTCAGCCACAGCAGTTCTCTTATGCAGCTCGAGCGGCGTCCTCCCATTCTCATGAATAAAACAAATATTCAAACCCCAATGCTAGCCTACCACCATACAGCCGCCTAGACTTTAAACAGCTTCTTCATACACTTGACGTTGCACCGTTTGCCAACCGACATATTCACGCAGATCTCGCTCGCCTTGCACGCACTCTTCTTGCACGAACACGCCTTTGTTGCACCGCCTCTATTCTTTCCCTTGGTCCCTTTTCCCTTCGCCGGCTGCACGAATTTCGTATCCACTGGTGTTCCAGAGCCGCTGCCTGTAGAAGAACCATCCGTATTTTCTCCCGATGTACCATCAAGTGTATCGTCCGATGTACTGTCAGATGTGTCTGTAACGGATGTGCCTGTAACAGGGGCGTCCTCGGGGCCTTTGGTCTGCTCCACCTCTTCAGGTGCATCCATGGGAGGTTCCATTGAATCAGTAGCGGACATGACACTCGCTGTAGGGGGGACGGGGGGAAAGGGGCAGAGGGAGGGAGCAGAGCAAGGTGAGACGCTGTGAGAATAGGTTCTTTGTATACTTTCGACATTCACGAGAGATTCCATTGAATCAGTGGCAGACATGACGCTTGCTGGTAGGAGAAGGGGGGAAAGGCGCAGAGAGAGGGAGCAGAGCACGGTGAGACTCTGTGAGAATAGGCTCTTTATACTCTTGACATCCACGAGAGGTTCCATTGAATCAGTGGCGGCCATGACACTTGCTGGTAGGGTAAGGGGTGGGAAGGGGTGGAAAGGGAGCAGAGAGAGGGAGCAGAGCAAGGTGAGATACACTGAGCATGGGTCCTCTTATACATTGGCATTCACGAGAGATTCCATCAGATCAGTGGCAGACATGACGCTCGCTGGTAGGGAAAGGGGTGGAAAGGGGCACAGTGAGGCAAGGCAAAACACAGTGCAGTGGTGGTTCCTGAGGGGCTTTGATCTGCTCAGACAACCCCTCAGGTGCATCCATGGGGGGTTCGGGTTCATCCACAAAAACTCTTATACACTGAGCATGGGTCCTCTTATACATTGGCATTCACGAGAGGTTCCATTGAATCAGTGGCAGACACGACGCTCACTGGTAGGAGAAAGGGGGAAAGGGGCAGAAAGAGGGGGGCACAGTGAGACGCGGCAAGGCACAGTGCACAGTGAGTGGAGAATCCAGCACCGGTCAAACCTCAGCACAGAAAACCATTACCCGCCCAGCAGCCACCCTGCTGCAATTCAAGGTGACTTTTCAGTCGACTCAAAAGTCACCTGAGGGGTGCATCCAGCACCGGTCAAACCTCAGCACAGAAAACCGTTAACCGCCCAGCAGCCTGCTGCTGCCCTTCACACCCCCAACAATTAGCCACCTGGTCGTGCCACGTCTCTCCAGTCTCTGGTGCAGGCCGGCAGAAGTCCCCCACCACCGCTTCACAGTACCCGTCCCCCACGTCCGCCCTCCCTTACCCCCACTCCCCTTACCCCAGTAGCCCAACCAATCAGAAGCCCCAACTCACGGGAGGAGCAGCGCAGTGCCACCTGGTCCTGCCACGTCTCCCCTGCCTCCGGGGCCGGGCGGCACAAATCCCCCACCACTGCCCCACAGTACGCATCCCCCACGTCCGCCCGCTGCTGCCCCGCGCCCACCGCGCACGCCGACGCGTCTCCCAGGCAGTTTCCCGCGGCGAGGCAGGCTTTGATGGGCGTTTTGCGCGGGGGGAAGGTTCCCGAGAGGAGGTTGCTGGTGACGTCGAAGGAGTTGAGCGGGGCTGTGATGGGGGGGATGGGGCCTGTGAGAAAGTTGTAGGGCAGGTGGCTGGGGAAAAAAGGGGAGGGGAGTGGGAGGGAGAGAGTAGGGGGGAGGGGGGGGGGGGGGAGCGGAGGGGAGGGAGAAGAGAACGGGGGTAAGAAGAGAGAGCAAGCTAAAGAGGTTGCTGGTGACGTCGAATGAACTGAGCGGCGCTGTGATGGGGGGTATGGGGCCCGTGAGAAAGTTAGCAGTACCACACGCCCTGCCTGCAGATGCACACCGGGGCTGGTGAGGCAGTTGGACAAGACAGTCGGGTCGGGGATGGGGGAGAAGACCTTGGGAAGAATGCAGTTACCAGGTTACCCTATGATACTAGCATAACTCTGTGTGGACGGACAGGTAGAAGCTGGGGCAGTTGGACGAGCCGTTGGTAAGCAGAATCACTACTGGGTTACCCTGTAACACTGGCATGACTCTGAGTGCACGTACAGGTAGCGGAGCTGGGGCATTTGGACGAGCCACTCGGGGATGGAGGAGTAGAACCAGTTGGACCCGAGGCTCCTGGGGGCACGCACATGGTAATGGGGGGGGGGGGGGGGAGAGAGGGAGGGAGATGCGAGTAAGAGGCTAGAGTGGGAGGGATATGCATGTGGGAGGCTAGAGAGGGAGGGGGGCAAATAGGAGGGCGGGGATGGAGGAGTAGAACCAGTTGGACCCGAGGCTCCTGGGGGCACACACAGGGTAGTGGGGAAAGGAGAGGCAGATGGGCAAGGAGGAGGGCAGAGAGGGAGAATGCTGAACCTGTTTTTTGAGAATTCTAAAAAAACAGGGTAGTGGGGAAGGAGGGCAAGGAGGAGGGCAGAGAGGGAGGGAGATGCGTTTGGGAGGCTCGACAGGGAGGGGGGGAGCTAGCTCGGCAGGGATGCTTCTGAGAGGGCAAACAGGTTCGGGCGAGTGCGGGAAAAGAAAGCAGACAGGAACAGTTTCTGCGATGCATGGTGGGCAGGATGTGAAGCGTGGTGCGGTGCGGCGAAATAAAGCGCAGAGCAGTGCGATGCCGTGCAGTGGAGTGTGGTGAAATGCGGTGCAATGTGACCGTGGAGAGACGCACAGGTATCGCAGCTGGGTCATTGTCTTGATGGCTGAGATCTTCTCATCGATGGTGGTAGGCACCTTGGACCTAGTAACGCTCCTGGTGGGTGGGAGCAGGCGGCAAGAGGAGGGAGAAGGAAGCAGCAGTAGAGATAGGGAGCGAGGCCGCATGAAGGTAACTTTGTCATGAGACGCCTCCGAGAAAAGTTTGCTCCCGCTGGGTCATTGTCTTGATGGCTGAGATCTTCTCATCGATGGTGGTAGGCATCTTGGATCGAGTGACACTCCTGGTGGGTGGGAGCACCGCAAGGGGGGAGACGGGAGGAGCAGTAGAGAGAGCGAGTGAAGCGGGACGGAGATGAATGATCAGCAAGATTACTCCAGCTGGGTCATTGTCTTGATGGCTGAGATCTTCTCATCGATGGTGATAGGCACCTTGGATCGCGTGACACTCCTGAGTAGGTATAGAGATTCAAGGGCGGAGAAGAGGCGGGCAGAGAGAGGGAGGCGGTGTTAATGGCTGTGAGCGCAAAAGACAGCAGGAATGGGGAGAGCAGGCATGGGGGAAGAGGATTGAAGTAACATGATGGAGCGAAAGGGGGATGGACAGGGACGACATGGTTATGCACAGCAGTGAACTGTGAGCAGTAAACTGTGACAACAAGGGGGACTGGTTAACTTACAGGTACGTGAGAGCTGTGAATTGTGTGACGAAAAAGGGGAAAGGTCAACCCGCAGGTATGTGAAAGCAAGGAGTTGTGACAAAAAGGTCGACAGGCCAACTCACAGGTATGTGAGAGAAGTGAATTGTGTGACAATGTCGGGTAGGGCTCCGATGGACCCATCGTCAATGTATCTGCCACGAGGAGAACGAGCAGCGTGGCAAACAGCGTGTCAAGCAGCGTGTCAAGCAGCGATTCAAGCAGGCGGCCATGCGAAAGCAGCGAAAAAATAAGCCAGTCAGAACGCGCGAGTCAGATACAGCGGCGAGTCAGAACGAAGGGCGAAAGCTGATAGGCAGCGAGCCCAGCGAACGCAGCGAGCGAGAGCGAAGGACAAGCGATGGTGATTTCGCCGAAATCTATATAAATCCAACTAGTAGAGATTATCGTTGCTCACAGTGTCGTGATTTCGCCGCTCGTCGCGTTGCACTTGATTCGGCTCCAACTGCTGCAGTTCCGCGGAGCTGAGATGTTCCATCCCTTGTCCGTCAATCCCGCTGCCGCCTTGAATGATAGCAGCAGCTTCACTGTGAGGAGACGCAATGGAAGGGAGCAGTAGAGGGTACGGGTATGGAATGATCAAGGCAGTTCCGCGGAGCTGAGATGTTGCAAGAGAAGGAAGGGAGAACCGGAGGGTATGGTTACCAGAAAATCAAGGCAGCTCTGCGCAACGGACTTGTTCCAGCCCTTGTGATGGCTGCTCGGCGCCGCTGCCCCCGCTGAACTGAACAAGGAAAATCGCACCAGTAGAGAGCAACACTGGCCGAGCTCGACACTTGCTGAAAGTTGTGTTTTGAGACGTTTCAAAGCACAAGGCAGCTCTGTGAAACGGATTTGTTCCATCCTTTGTGATGGCTGCTCGGCGCCGCTGCCCCCGCTGAACCAGGAAAATCGCACCAGTAGAGAGCAACACTGGGCGAGCTCGAGACTCGATTTCTTGCAAACCGTCCTTTTCTACTAGCGTCTCAGACAGAAGAACTGACAGGGTGTGAAACATTTTCGGGGGTCCAGGGTAGTGAAACACGGTCTAAGTGGAACAGGGTGGCAGCACTCGGTAGGCACGTGTAATTAGATTGCTTTTGAGACGTCTCGAAAACAATCTTATCACACGAAGAACTGACAGGGTGTGAAAGATCTTCAAACGTCCGGGGTAGCGAAGCACTTCTAAGTGGAACAGGGTGGCAACGCTCGGTAGGCTACTACTGACGTACTGGGCATCTGCCTACCCTGCTTCCACTTCTCGTCGTAAGTTTCACAGTACTGTAGCTCCTCTCCCGAGGCGCGACAAGGTAAACTCCGGTTTCGGCGAAAGGGAGCGTCGTTTCGGCAGTGTACCTTGGTCGTCTGTCAGCATTTGGCTGGCGGCGCCGCTGCACGATAAGGGACACGAAGAAACAGAGGGCCCCACCCCGCATATCCCAAGGGGTGTTGGTGGGCTCGGCAATACCTTGGTCGTCTGTCAGCATTTGGCTGGCGGCGCCGCTGACATGATACACGATAAGGGACACGAAGAAACAGAGGGCCCGACTCGCGGTTACGCCGTGTGAAGCCATCGTACTGTCAGAAGAGGCAGCGCCTACGCGACACGGATGCTAGTCTGACGCGACGAATCGCGACACGTAAAAGAATCAGAAGGTCAGACGTTATTATGTATATCTCGCTGACCCTCGTTTTCTCGAGTATAGTAAGGTCTCAATACTACCAACTACAGCCGACGCGCAAGTTGGGAATAAAATCTTCAGTCTTCCACTAATAGCTACTGAAGCGTGAAGGCAGGGGCTCTAATTTTTTATCCTTGATTAAGTACGTAACTGCTACAGAACAACTGTTTGACGCAAAGGCTTCTACGACTGTACGGAGCTTTAGGGGGAGGGGAGCAGCTTGCAGAGAGAGACTAGTTGATCGACGATGGGATTGCAAGGAATCACTAGAGAGGTGGGAGAAGAGAGGAGGGAGCGCAGAGCAGTAGGAGTGAGTGCGAAGAGGAGGAGGATACAGCACAGGACAGTGCGGGTGCGGAATTACCGAGGAAATGACGAATCGCCCTGTTTGTTTGTTTCCGATTCCTTTCGGCAGTGGTTTTGACAGCGCATCGCTTTGCGATCGCGTCGAATTCCTCGGGGCATATTATTTGCCCGTTTCCCCTTTTTGAGTCCAGAATAAAAACTGTTTCTGATTTACAGGATATATAAAATCATTTCATCGCGTCCAACGCAGAAGCGCAGCTCGGGACAAAAAAAAATATACCCTCTTGGAAGGCATGCCGCGTAACGGGCATCAACCCTAAACACCATGAGGCGATGTGTTTAGGGTTGATGCCTCCCAAATGGCTTGTCATCCGAGTGGGTTTTAGTTTTGCCACTGGCGCTTTACTGAAACCAGGGCCTCGTAATTGCTCTTTTATACATCTGGTCACGAAAAATGGGAAATAACGCGATCGACTGCCCGTGGGAATCGGGCGCGATCGCGTAGCAGGAGGGCTGTAAAAACCACTTCCCGTTGGAATTGAAGACGAGAAAGCACCGCGGTTCGTCATTTCCTCACCGTAACATCAGGGCCCGCGGCTCCATTGGGGCGCTCCGCTTCGTTCCGTTCCGGTCCGTTCCTTTCCGTTCATTTCCCCCGTGAGATCTGATCTGACCCGTGCCTTGCAGGTGCCGCCGCCGAGGCTCCAGGGCGACACGAGAAAGGAAGGAGCAGATTAGGTTGGGCCGAGAGAGACCTCCCCTTCGCCCCTGATGACAGGTGCGACTGTGCGAACGAGGTAGGAAGGAAGAGAAGGTCAGGTTGTTGGTCAGGCAATACAGTATCCTTGTTGTGCATGGTGGAACAAGGGCAGGTAGTTGTTTTCTGTTTCGAAGTCTACTACGTATGAGGAAGGTTTGAGCTCGACAAGAAATCTTCAAATAGGCCTTTAAAGCTGATTATGTCGACGTGTATTTCTGCATCGACGAATAACTGTGTCGTAACTTCAGTCGAGGCTAACAAAAAGGGTTTAGGAAAACCAAGATCAAAGATTGCTTCTTTCCATGCAAGGATTTCAGCGATTCATCAGGTGGTTTCAGAAAGGACACTGCTTGGCGCGAGTCTGTCACCTCAGGTGCAAGAGATGACCCCTGTACTGTATCTAACCTGCGGTTAGGGGGTTGAAACAGGTCTCACTTCAGGATGCTCAAGTGCAGCGGAGCCCAACCACCCCCAGCATACCCCATTTAGCAAATTTCGTTTGATTTAGCCAAGCTTCTGTCGTTGAGGGAAAAATGCTATGGCAATGTGACGGTGTGAGAAACAAATGGTATTTATGGGACATCTATGCTAAGAAAAAGTGTTAATAATCAGGTTCTTAAAGTTTATTGCGTTTTATATTACAACTTAACAAATTTTTTTTTGGAGGTGTAAATATATTATCAAATATAGATACATCCGCAGTCGTAACTGTATGTCTTGGAGGGCCTAGGCCACGCCACGTGGACGCCGCACCACCCCCCTGCGGCATGCTACGGAGGTTGATGGAAAGTGCGCGGGTTGCGCCATATGGAAAGGAAATGAGCCGCCCAATTTGTTGGCCCACCATCCTCGCAAATCTTCTGAAACTGCATCTTCTCGTCCGCAGCCACATGGCTCCAGTTGTCTGCCTTCCAGAAACTTCTCCCTGCATCCGTCGCTGCCACCCTACCCCTTGCTGCCAACACCACCCTCGCATGCGTCATGAAGTCCAGCACCGCGCATCTCCCCACTTTCTTTCTTTCGAAGGGAGCTGCGCGCCAAATTGCATTGCATCGCGCCAGCCAGATCTGCCTAAGCACCACTGCCGTCAACGTCATTTCCGGAAACTCTGACGCCGTGCCCTTTTCGCCAAACAGTAGGTCCCCCAGACAGTCCACCGACCTGCCCGGGTTCAGCATGTGCAACGTCCGCTTCAGCGCGCCAATGATCGGTTGTATAACCGGGCAGCTGTAGAGGCAGTGCGCTAGGGTTTCTTCCTCTCCACAGTGCACACATGCTATCCTGTTCTGGAAGAAATCCAGTCTCCCCCCAACCTGCAGGTTCATGCTGTGGACCCTTAGTAGGACGTCCCTCGCCTTGTTCGGCACATTTACTGAGTCTCGTGTCTCAATGACTTTCCGCCAGTCAATCTTTTTGCCCCACACATCCTCCCACTCCGCTTGTCTCCAAGAACGCCCTTTCTCCTTAGTTAGTGCAGCCCTTACACCGCGTAGCGGCACCAGCTCTCCCCCAGCGAAGAGCCCTGGTAGAGATAGCAACCGCACCCTTGGATCTCCCACGGGGCCAAGCAGTATCCCTTTCTGAACCGCCATCGGCTGGAGCCTACACGCCTCGAAACATGTTTTCTCCGCCCTCGCCTTTTCCCTTATCCTCCCGCCTTCACAGAGGGTCATGCTGGACACAGCCACCTTCGTGCCGACCCCCCCGTCCACTGCCCATGGGAGTCTAGCCGGTTGTCCATGCATGATGTATCTCACCACCCCCGATGCTTTCGCCACAGCTTCGGCCGTCGCCGGCTCCTCGATCAGCTTTCTCCACTCCGGCGGCATGGCCTCATACGCTTTTCTTGCCATGACCGCCGCCTCTTTGCTTCCCAGTTCAAGAGTCAGCACCTCTTCCTCCTTTACCCCCCTCCGTCCCCCTGGCCCGTCCGTGATCAGGTCTCGAACGCGCGTGGTGATGAGGGCTGCTGTGCCTATCTGGTGACCGAAAGGGCTCTTCCCCCGATGCATGATGTTTCTGTTGAAACAAATAAACTCCTCCTCCACCTCCCACCTGCTCCTTGGTGCCGGCAGTGCCGCAAAGGGTGACTTCCAGAACACCTTTGCCGCCTCCTTCCATCGTTCACTACCTTGCTGCCACTGCTTTATCGCCGACGGGTGCGCGTACAGCGTGGCCAGCCCCTGCGGGAAGGCTGCCGCCCTTTCCGCCAGCCAGCGGCGCGTTTCGTCCGGCTCCTTCAGAAGCTTTCCGATCCTGCGGACCGCCAGCCCGTCTAAGCAAAGCTTTGGGTCCAGCTGCCCCAGCCCTCCGTCTTTCCGCGGCAGACACGCCAGGTACGCACTCCATAGGATGAAAAAAAATTCTTCTGCTGCCTCCCCCGCCGATACGAACGCATGGCATAGCTTCCTGATTTTTTCCCACGTCTCCTCCGGCGGCGAGTAGACTTGAGCTTGGAACATCAGTACCGGCAGGACATAGCAGCTAATCACCGCCACTCTTGCCGTGGTCGTTAGGTACTGCGCTTCCCATTTCCTCAGCTCCTCTTTTATCCTTTCGTACGCCCTCCTCCAGGATGGCCCCGGGTCACCGTTGGGCGTTATCCACACCCCCAGGAGTCTCTCCGGCTCTCCCTGCTCCGACCATTTGTATGGGATGTCTGTCGGCGCCGGCACTCCACGGTTGCTTCCCAGCGGTACCACCACCGACTTATCACAATTCACCTTCAGGCCTGATTGCTTCCCAAACGTGTCCAAAACCTCCACCACCTTCCGCAGCTGGGATTCCCCATTCAACAGAAAAGACGTGTCGTCGGCGTACCCCACGTATGCAAGCGGCTCCTTCCCGACCGGTCCAATGCCCAGCTTCTCCCTCTGCGTGGCTCTGCATAGCGGCTCGAGTGCGCAAAGAAACAGGTATGGCGCCAGTGGGCACCCCTGCCTGACACCTCTGTTCATCTCCACCCTGTCGCTTAGCCACCCATTAATTATGACCCTTGTCCCTGCGTCTGCATGCAGGCCCCTGGTCCAACCGATGAATTTTTCAGGCACACCCAGCTCCTTCATGACCCTGAAGAGGAAGACTCTCGAGACCGTGTCATAGGCCTTTTGAAAATCCACTAGCAGCAGTAGCCAATCTTCCCTGCCGCTGTTCGCCGCCTCCACCGCATCCGCTACCACCGATACTGCATCCGCCAGGCTTTTCCCCGGTAAGAAGCCGTGCTGCTCTTTTGACATGACTTTGCCCAGCACCTTTTTAAGTCTCGTGGCCATAACCTTCGTAACCACCTTGTACATGACTGACAGAAGTGTGATGGGGCGGTAGTTCCCCAGCTGATCTGTTGGCCCCTTCTTGTGCAGCAGGACAGTCACCGCTGTCGATAAACTCTCCGGCATCCTCGCCTCCCTAGCGAACTCCCCGACGAAGCCCATCACGTGCTCTCTCAGCAGGTCCCAGTGCAGGATGAAGTACTCTGCAGGCAAGCCATCCTGCCCGGGGGACTTCCTCTTCGGGAGGCTTTCCAGCGCCTGCTTGACCTCCTCCTCCGTCCAGTCTGCCCCAAGGAGCGCTGCATCCGCCTCCGAGAACTTGGCGCCTTCCGAGAAGGCTCCCCAGTCCACCTCTTCCTCCGGTAGTACCTCGCTGAAAGCAGCCTTGAAATGGTCCGCTGCCGCCTTCAACACCTCCTTTGTCCCCTGGTACATTACTCCACGGTGAGAAATCTCCCGCACCGTCGTACGCTTCTTCCGTACTTTGATTTTTGCCGACAGGTACGGTGATGGAACTTCCCCGGTGAGTTCCACCTTGATTCCCGCCAGTACTTGCATCCGATCTCTGCAGCTCTGAAGATAAGCCTCCAGGTGCGCCTCCTTCCGCACCAACCTGTTCTGTGCTCTCTTGTCCCCCGGATACCGCATCACTTTATGCCTCAGTCGCTCCACCACTTCCTCCAGGTGCCTCACCGTCGCCTTCACCCTCTTTCGTTCCTCCCGTGAGTATTCCCTCAGGCCCATGCTGAGCAGTTTCAGCTTCTTCCCCAGGTCCATCCCTTCCTCGTTCTCCAGTTTTTTAAGGATGTTAGCCGTCACCGTCTTAACTCCTCTCAGCCGCGCCTGCTTCGCCTGCATCCTCCACATGCCAGGGCCCTGATCAGCCGGCGCCGACACCGCGAGTGCTACCTTTATGCCAAACCAGTGGTCCGACAGCCCCCTTGGGATCTTGACATGACGCGCATCCGCCAGCAGCCCGAGCAGCGAGAAAGACACCAAGCTCCTGTCGATGCGTGTGCTCGCCTTTGTCGCCCTGTCCCTGAAGGTGTACTCCGGACGGCTTGGATGAAGGACCCGGAAGGCGTCTCTGAGGTCCTCTGTTCTCCAGAAACTCAGCAACCTCTGGTTTTCATTACCCGAGCCCGAGCGCGACGTTTTATCCAAGTCGGGATCCTCCACTAAATTCAGGTCCCCCAGAATCACCAGGTGCGCATGCGCCGGCTGAGCCTGGACAAACAGCGGGAGGCAGTTCCGGAAGAAGACTCCTCTGGCACACGGCTGCGCCGGCAGGTACATCGCTATCAACCTGAACGAGACATGTGGGCACGACACCGTGACTCCCACCAATCTTCCCGACGGGTGAGTAGTTACCTCCGTCAACTTAATCTCCTCGTTGAAAGACAGCACCGCAACACCTCCTGCTCTTTCACTGTTCCCCACCACCGCTGCCGAGGCGGGTTTCAACTGCGTCCAGAAATTGTGGTCTTCTCTGATTCTCGTGTCTGTGAGCACCACCACATCTGCAATCGTTTTGATCCACTTTGCGTGTGCAGTTCGTTTGCCGTTGCTTCCGAGGCCATTTACATTGACCTCACACAGTGTGAGATTGCGGGTGTTATCCATTAAACCACTGAGACAGGGCCCCTTCGCATCCACGGGCTTGCTACAGCACAACTCCTACGCACCTCCACGCACAACGACCAGGTAACCTCCTTACTCCCCGCTTGCCACTCCTGCCACGGTCATGAATACTGCGGACGGCCTTCATTCCCTGCACTGTCTCCATTACAGCCCAAACTCCTTGCGGATCGGAAGGAAGTTCATTTTCCCCCTGCTCTTCCTGCTTGCTGCATCTCCCTGCAGGATAGCGGTACAGTGCTGCACCGACTTCACATGTGCTAGCGCCTGCGTAAAACTGGAACCATGCGCCTTGCCACACGCCTCCTGGACGCACAACCACTCCTCCCGGCTTCCGCCCGTGGAGACCAACACCACCGCAGGGTCGCGCAAGATCTTCTTCACCCGCGCGTCTAAAGGCAGGGACGCAGCTGCTCAGGTATGAGGCGACGAGGTTGTCAGCAGAGTCGAACAGGGCCCCAACAGCCTGAAAAACGAGGTTAGTGGTCGACCGTTTACCGTTGATCGCGTGCAGACGCTCGAGAGTCAGGTTCCACTTGCCGATGTTCTCTTGACGCTCCGTAATAAAATCATCGTGAAACTTTGTCATATGCATGCCAGTGCAGAAATCACAGGTGAGCGAGGGATAATGTACGAGAAGCTGCTTGTGATGCACCGAATCGACCAACAAGTGCCACCATCGATACTTATCCCCCGGGTGTCCCTTAACCAGACCCCGAATCTTATCAGTGTCTGCACCAGTAACCGGATCCACCACCCTGTGGAAAGCTGCACTGTTGAGAAAAGGCGTCCGACCCCGCTTCTCCAGCACTGTCTTCACCAAGTATTCATAAACCATTTCCGACGTGATAGCCGCCGGGACACTCTTCAGCAGCACTTCGATGGAATCTGGGTTAGCCGCGCGCTCCTGGACGTGGATCGGGTTTTCCGGGTGCTGCCAGTCCAGGTAAATGCTCTCCTCGTTCAACATCTTGTGCTGGATCCGGCGACACCACACATAGTTCGCGTCCGATGCTTGCTGGAAAGTAACTTGCATCCTCCCATATCGCTTCTTCGACAACCACGCCGGCAGGAGAACTTGGCATCTGGTCGTCGTCAGTACGTGAGCCGACATAAACTTCCTCCACAGCGCGAGGAGCCCCTTGACCGTGTCAATAGTACGGGGAACCTCCTCCTCGTGCTTGATCGGGATCAGCAGCGTGATGGAGAAGCCTGCGCGCGCAGCAATTTCTCCAGCTTTCACCGGATCAAAACGCTCCTCAGGGTCATCGCTGAGATACCCATCATCCTCGTCGTCCTCGTCTTCACTCCCCTCCTCAGGTGCTTCGGGAGCAGCGATCGGCGATTTCACCTCCTCCTCTTTGCCTTGTCCGTCGCTAGCGTTGCTGTCCCCTTCTTCAGCAGGCGCACTCGTGGAGGGAAACTTAAGCGCCGACAACCTCTTCACCAACGATGCGCGCACACCACCGTCAAAGGGGCCTTCCACATCCTTCAAATGCGGCATTGGCGTAGCCGGCTCTGACTGGTGACCCTTAGTTGCCAGATCCAACACATCAGAACCCGCAGGCTTGACCGCCGGCTTGGCAGTCTTCTTCGTCACCCGCGGCATGGTGCGATGATGAGAGCTTGAGAAACTGCGACCAAGACTGGATGAAGCACACAAAGTTGTGTAGTTTGAGCTGACTGCTCTGAGCACCGTTTTCTTATAGCCTGGTTGTGGTTGCAATGGCCTTGGTTTCTTCCTTGGCTGACGATGCATGAAACCGTTATCTTCTGTAGTCGAGTGCACCTTGGTATATGTTTTCCGTGGTAGAAACTTTGGTGTCTCCTCGGGATAATAAGAATCTGACATCAGCCTTGGGGAAGCCTCCAAGGGTCCATCTCCAGTGGTTACCAACGGAGTTAACGGGAAACCTGACAAAAAACCTGAAGTTACAATGCTCGTCATTTGAGCACATAAAGAGTATCTTCTTGTTCGTCTTGTCATGTAGACTCCGAATCCGTGTTTGGAAATAGTAACTGATTGGAAATTGATAGACATTGAGGCGTCCTGAGTTCGCGAAAAGGAAACGCGATCGTCCGCAGGTCGGGAACAGGAGGAGGTCGGAGACGTTTCTGAGCATTAAGTCGACTATTTAGGAGCTAGTTTAAGACGACACGCACAATCGAAGTCGAGCTCCAATGTGGTTCACGAGTCAAGCAATGTCGCCGTCCTTTCGGCTCGGCGCGCAGCTCCCTCTTGCCGCCGCGTTGCTGCTGTCGTTGGAGATTCTAGGGCTGTGGACCTCGGGAGCTGTCGCGCAGCATCGAACGGTGCACAAATGGGATGGTGAGCGCCCGTTAACGATTTTTTAGCATTCTCAAAAACACGTCGTTGCAGAATCTAAAGTTGTGCACCTCCGCGCAGCGTCGAACGGTGCGCAACTCGGATAGTGCGTACATGTGCTTATTTGTTGTCCACTTTGACGTATCCACTTTAGCCCGGCACATTAGCATTTACGACGCCCGTTTACCCTAACGTATTAGATCTTCGAGGCATCGGAAAGGGATTGCGATCGTACGACGCCCTAATCTGATATATTCGAGGTTTGAGACGTGGCGGAGGTAGCGTCTCGGCAGTACGCCGTTTTAGCGCTTCGACCTCGACCGTACGACGCCCTTCTCGAATACCTGAGTTTCGTGACGTCGAGAAGCAGCACTACGGCCGACGCCCATTAGAACTGACTTTTGAGTCGACTCAAAAGTCGCCTCGACACCGTTTTAGCTCTTCGACCGTACGACGCCCTTCTCGAATACCTGAGTTTCGTGACGTCGCGAAGCAGCACTACGGCCGACGCCCATTTGAACTGGGATATCCGAGGCTTGCCACATCGCAAAGATGGCATTTCAGGCCTACTACCCCGTCAGGAATGTAGCCTGACTTTTGAGGCGCCTCAAAAGTCATAGCTAAGGCAGTGTTTCAGGCCGACTACCCGGTCAGGAATGTAACCATCCCCATTCGGCGCGAGGGTCGATCGGTTCAGCGAGGGGGTGTCAATAGGTGCGGCGTTGTCGGACGAGCGTACACTGCTCAAAGATCTAGGTTCGGGGGTAAGCGTGAATCGCTCAGCATTTCTGGTCCGTTAGAAAATTCACTACCGGGCAGCTGAAAATCCAGCGTTTTTCGCAGTTTAAGGCTGTTTTCAGAGTCCGCAAAAAGCGCCTACATTACGCACCTGGAAGTCTGACCTTTCTTTATTCTGGCTCGCCGCGTTCAACTCAAAGGCTGCGTGAACAGTGCCCGGGAACGGGCACATGGTCTAGCAGGCTCGTCTCGTGCCAATACTGGCGAGTTTCGAGATGTATCAGAGTCGGTTGGACTTATGCTAACCGTTATAAGCAACCCCCGTTATGAGTTGCTTGTGTTTATACATGGAAGGTGATTGTCTTTCATCGGCACGGGCGGTTTCCAGCGAAGTGAATGTTGAGTCGACTCAATCTGTCCCTAGGCAACAAATCTTCCCTCTCATCTCATTGACACCCTCTTTCCCACAGTCGTGATTGCGACGATTTCGATGCGCAAGGCGTGGGGCAGCCCGGCAGCCCTGCAGACGTGGCAGAAATTTCCACCCTCTTTCCCCCCTTCCCCGCTCCACCCTCTTTTCTGTCCTGCATTTGATGCACTGATTGCGATGCGCAAGGCGTGGGGCAGCCCGGCAGCCCTTCACACCACCTTCACATGGCAGACAGACAGCCTCACCAACTCCCCCCTTCCCCCTCTCTTCCCCCACGTAGTTGATGCACTGATTGCGATGCGCAAGGCGTGGGGCAGCCCGGCAGCCCTGCAGACGTGGCAAGGGGAGGACCCGTGCCAGGGGCAGTGGAGGGGCGTCACGTGCACCGACCGCACTGCAGACAGCTCGGAGAAACTCTACATCAAAGCGCTGTGAGTGGGGGGAGGTGGGGCTGGAGTGATTGAGTTGAGAGGAATGAAGGGAAGTGAGTGGAAAAGAGCCAGGGCAGTGGAGGGCGTCACCTGCACCCACCCACCGTACTGGAGACAGCTCAGAGAAGCTCTATATCAAAGCGCTGTGAGTGGGGGGAGTGAGTGAGGGTAGTGAATGAGAAGAGCATGGGCAAGTGGAGAGGCGTTACTTGCACCGATCGCACTGGAGACAGCTCTGAGAAGCTCTACATCAAAGCGCTGTGAGTGAGGGGAGGTGGGGCTGGAGTGATTGAGTTGAGAGGAATGAAGGGAAGTGAGTGGAAAAGAGCCAGGGCAGTGGAGAGCGTCACCTGCAGTGGATGCGCTGATAGCGATGCGCAAGGCGTGGGGCAGCCCGGCAGCCCTGCAGACGTGGCAGGGGGAGGACCCGTGCCTGGGGCAGTGGAGGGGCGTAACTTGCACCGATCGCACTGGAGACAGGTCAGAGAAGCTCTACATTAAAGCGCTGTGAGTGGGGGAAACTGGGGATGGAGTGAGTGGGAAGAGTAAAAGGAAGTGAATGGAAAGAGCAAGGCGCAATGGAGGGGCGTCACCTGAACCGACCACACTGGAGACAGCTTCAAGAAGCTCTATGTGAAAGCGTCGCGAGTGAGGGGAGTGGGGCTGGAGTGCGTGAGAAGAGTGAATGGAAGGGAAGGGAATGAGAACTTTGAAGGGAAATGAATGAGAAGAGTGAGGGCAAGAGAGCGAGAAGAGTGAGAGGAAATGGATGGAGGGGCGTGACCTGCTGGGAAACATCCCTTGCTTGTTCCCACTTTACCCGTTCTCCTAATCCTCTCCTCTCCAGAGAGCTTTCCGGCATGCGCCTGCCAGGGCCGCTCTCTCAACGAAGTTGGAGAAAAGCACTCCCTTGCTCCCTTGTTACCCCTTCCTCCCCCAATCCTCTCCTCTCCTCCCCAGAGAGCTTTCCGGCATGCGCCTGTCAGGGCCGCTTTCGACCAAGCTGGGAAAGCTCCTGAAGATTGAGAAGATGTGAGTTCACTCAGTGAGAGGGAGTGTAAGTTCAGCAAGTGAGAGAAAATGTGTGTATGCTGAGTGAGAGTGAGAGAGGATGTGAGTTCAGCGAGTGAGAGAAGATGTGAGTTTCAGCGGCTCAAAAATGGACTTTGAGATTTCTCAGATTGACCTAGAGTGCAAGGAAGAATCGTATGCTGTATCGCTGCGTGATTGAAGAGACACTGCTAGTGTCTGTCTGTCTCGTAGCAGGTGAACTTATTTACTACATACACACCCCATTACTTGATCCAGAGCGTTCAACAATCTGATTTTTTATTGCTGCGCAATAGAAGAGACAATGCTATTTTGTTGCGCTTGAAAATTCTCAAACTCGACCTAGAGTGTCCAACGAGCATGCATCGAATTGTTTCGTGATACCAAAGACTCTGCTATTGTTTGTCCAGAAGGATGTTTATCTAGCTTGCGCTTCCATATGGAATGGTGACAGCTCGGCACCACCGTCGTTCCTTCCCAACCTTCCTCACATCCTATCCATACTACTACTAACACCCCTACTTCGTCCACCCTCTTCCTCCCTCTCATCCCTTTTCCCCCATTCCCCCATTCCCTCCTTCACCTTTTCCCCCCTTTCCCCCTCCCCCCATTCCTCCTTGTCCCCTTTCCCCGTTCCCCTCTTCCCCTTTTCCACACGCATCCCCCCCTCCCCGTGCTTCATTCTTCCAGCGATCTGTCCAACAACAGCTTCTTTGGCTCCATTCCCCACTTCCCTCCCCCCCTTTTCCCTGCTTTCAACCCTTCCACACGCACCCCCCCCTCCCCGTGCTTCATTCTTCCAGCGATTTGTTCAAGAACCGCTTCTTTGGCTCGATTCCCCTCTTCCCCGCGCCCCCCTTCCCCACTTTCCCCCTTCCACACGCATCCCCCCCTCCCCGTGCTTCATTCTTCCAGCGATTTGTTCAAGAACCGCTTCTTTGGCTCGATTCCCCTCTTCCCCGCGCCCCCCTTCCCCACTTTCCCCCTTCCACACGCACCCCCCCCTCCCCGTGCTTCATTCTTCCAGCGATTTGTTCAAGAACCGCTTCTTTGGCTCGATTCCCCTCTTCCCCGCGCCCCCCTTCCCCACTTTCCCCCTTCCACACGCATCCCCCCCTCCCCGTGCTTCATTCTTCCAGCGATTTGTTCAAGAACCGCTTCTTTGGCTCGATTCCCCTCTTCCCCGCGCCCCCCTTCCCCACTTTCCCCCTTCCACACGCACCCCCCCCTCCCCGTGCTTCATTCTTCCAGCGATTTGTTCAAGAACCGCTTCTTTGGCTCGATTCCCCTCTTCCCCGCGCCCCCCTTCCCCACTTTCCCCCTTCCACACGCATCCCCCCCTCCCCGTGCTTCATTCTTCCAGCGATTTGTTCAAGAACCGCTTCTTTGGCTCGATTCCCCTCTTCCCCGCGCCCCCCTTCCCCACTTTCCCCCTTCCACACGCATCCCCCCCTCCCCGTGCTTCATTCTTCCAGCGATTTGTTCAAGAACCGCTTCTTTGGCTCGATTCCCCTCTTCCCCGCGCCCCCCTTCCCCACTTTCCCCCTTCCACACGCATCCCCCCCTCCCCGTGCTTCATTCTTCCAGCGATTTGTTCAAGAACCGCTTCTTTGGCTCGATTCCCCTCTTCCCCG